TTTCATGAAACCAAGTTCAGTACTGACTTTATGTTAATACCAAGCTGTAAATAAACGGACATTACTCGTTTATTTCATAAATTTCATTTAATTCGCTCCATCAACCAGATAGCTGGGTAGCAGGGGTTAATCAACAGTCTTTCTCCAAAAATAGCTTTTATTTTTTTCCTTGATTGCATCAATCGGTGAAAATTAGACTTCGTATACTACAACTAGAAAGGACACACATTTAATGAGTTGCTGAAAATGTACTGTTTTTCTCAAAATTTTAGAAAAACAAGGATGGAATTTTAGGAAAGTTCGGAGCAGAAGATATAAATAATTTTTTGATGTGTAGAGATAAATGAGTCCAATACTACCTGTCGATTTCGCATAAATGGTTTAAAATCTGTTTCTTTCCGTCTTCATCGGAAAAAATCTTTCGATAAAAAATGATTCTCACGGACGACTGAAAAATATGAAAAGCCGACGAAGAGTACAATGAATCGAAGTTTTCATTGTACATTGTTGATGTTAGATTGTACGGTATATCTCCTTTTATCAGGGAAAGACGTCCAAATGTTGCTGGACTCAACAAACTATCAGAAAAGTGTTTACCAAAGACAAGCTCTTTGGGTTTAAATTTATGACTTGCCGCGTATAAAGGTCATTACTACCCCACAAGTTTGGGGGTTGAGCTGTAGCGGTAAATAAGTCCCCAAAGTAAATGGTTCCGCAAGACTTCGGTATTGATTCCGACCCCGTCGGATTGACTGGACACACTTTAGCTAAAAGCGCTTGGACACGCATCTGCAACAGATCACGATTGTGTACACCATCTTTTGCAACTACTAGTCAGCTTAGATCGAACATATTGACAACCTCAGGAATATATTTTCCAACTCATTCATCATTGAATTAAATTTGACTGTGTTGATATCTTTCGATTGTAAAGGTATCACAAACGAAAGCGTTGTCAAACCCTGGACATTTGTGGTATGTATACTGCCCTGAGACAAACAGAATTACTTACATTACAGGATGAGCAAACCCATAAATTACTTTAAAATGATTGAAACATGTGAAGACCTGTAGATTACTAGAGTGGATGATCTGTGTCGAATATTCGGGGGTCTACCCGAGTCAGATGGGAATGGGGTGATGAACCAACTAACGTCAAAGTCATTCCTCTCGACTAGCATCTAACGTGGATTACTCTTTCGTAGTATCAAGGTATATGGATGCTTTGAAGACCGTATAACTCAGATGTTATTACAGAAATAAGCAGGTACAGGGAACAAATTGCTTCTGCCACTGAGTGGGCCAGTTCATGGAGTGCAACTAACTGATGCACGTTGGTTGTCCTTGACCTTGACGTGGATCAATCAACTGTTTGACACTCAGCAACAGACTGACAAGTAATTTGGCTGGAGCCAAATGATATTTCACTGGCCCTACAATACTCCCCCGCCAAATTCAACGGCCGTTTAAATCGGTACCAGACACGGAAGTAATCACTCGCCAGAGGCTGCCAAAAAATAAATGAGAATTTTCCGGGTATTGTTAAGCTGTAAGACAAATAGAAAGACGTCGTCAACAACTGATCGGAAAATGGAGAGTGATGATTAATCTGGAAATGTTAGATATGTCAACGTGCTTAAAAGTATGACTTACGGGTTGGTTGAATGTCGAGCAACTAACAATGGTGACGGTGGAAAAAACTAAAGCATCTTAAAGTTTTGTCAAGCAGTATCGAAATACATTGTGTTGACAAGTGGGTGGGTTCTCCAGATAAGCAAAGTTCAATTTGCCGCAAGAGTAATGATTATACACTAGTAGTAAGATAAGTGTAATATTTATTGGTGCCAATGTGAGCAATGTCACTGACTCTATGTAGAAAGTCAGTCTGTGTACTTTACAGTTCACTGTTCAAAAATGTCGAATGTTTTTACATCTTTATTGAGCAAATTAACTAAAAGTGCAGAAGCGCAACTGCAAAACACTTGTTATTTCACCGTATGAAGTTATTGATCAGTTTATAGTCAGAGATTGCAGAATTGATGTTTTCTGTTACCATCAGTAGGGGTCGTATACTACAGATCAGGAGTGATGGTGACACGATGAAGTTGTCTCTACAGGACGAAAAACGGAGAGTGCCGTATATAAGTTCAATAACTGGACCGAAAAAATACTGAACAGAGCAAAATTAATCAAGAGTGTCTTTTCGAGCTCATATCAATAATATTGGTGCAAAACGCTGTCGGTTTTGGGATAGAGGCGACAGTGTCGTCTTCAGTTTGCAAAGGATTCGCTCGTCTACGTCGTCAGACTACCACTTGAGCTGAACAGGAGTATTTGTACAGCCGAACGATGTACTAAAATCAAGGGTTAGATTTTAACGATTTAGGTTGATTGGTTAAGAGTTGACCTCAGACAAATAAGTATATGTCAAAACAATAGAGCTCAAGTATTCATTCACCTCCTTATTTTGCATAGACATCGAATTTCCTATTATCTCATCTTTAATGTTGAAAAGATTTGTGGATGAGGCTATAATTTATGGACGACCTTTGAGCGGCGCTGAAGTGACAATGAGAGTGAACAACTTCTGTTTAGGACTAAAAGAGGGTAATAAAGCAGATAGAATTCTCATTTACAGTTGATGGTTAGGGATAAAAATTAGATTTAAGGCTTTCATTATGAACTGACATCAGATATAATGCCAAAACTCTATTTATCCAAATATATGAATGAATTCCACGCCCAAATTCGTGACTCGTTATCTTATATCTGATTGGTTCGTCCATAAATTATAGTCTCGCCCTATACTGGTTTCTTCTATTAACAGAACGAGGGCTACCTATAGACACGAAAAGATAACCATGAGGAAACAATACTTCATAAAATAAGGTACGACGGCGAAGTTGAGTAGTTGCAGTAGTTCAAATGTGTCATAATGTCACAGCGAAATAACATCGTTCTTGTATATACAGAAGGTTGCACTAAATGTTCGTTTGGATATTACTAGTGCAACAGTTGAATGTGTGAATGCAAATATACGAAGACTATGGTGGGGTTCGTGGAGAATCCTGAAGGTCGCTTAGATATTTGCCGAATCCGTGTTACATGTTAGTAAACCAAAAACGGAATTAAGATGACTCTCCTGTAATAAGGATGGTCACTACTATTGTAACTAGATTTTAGAAGGTCCACATAACCTAGCTGATGCAATGAGCTTATTACCTAGCGTCAAGTAACATATTACGTACGGCAATACGCTTTTCCACAGTTTATCAACTTATGAGTCATGGAAGTACATGATTTCATCTAGAACTTTACGGCAGTGACAGAATATACAACTACTCTACGTGAAATGTTTAGTGGCCCGTGGATCTGAATCCATTTATATCGTACGAATGTTTGTTATCACCTATCCTCGTATACAATCATCGACTTAAATCACGTTCGTCAATAACGGAATTTAGATAAGTCAATTAACGAGAATGGCCTTTGAATACATATAATTTGCATGTAAAGTGAATGTAATAGAACAAAGCAAAATGACGCGCAAGGGAGATGGCTGGTAAGCCAACTCATTTTTAGCCAGGCGTTACTCAATATTTATAGGCAGACAAAATAAACTACAGACACGTGATGAGACATGTGATATGAAGTGTACACATATATACGCTCATATAAAACAGTCAAGACTGATAAGCGAATAATTAACAAGGTCAAAATATAATTCATCATGACACATCATAAACATAGCACGAAATTATTTAATCCAATTATGAAACTCGCTTAGGTTACTCTCGCTTCCAAGTAATGAAGATTTAAATCAGATATTAGCTCAGATTTGGATTATATACGAGGTGTTGTTAATTTAATTCTTGGTTTAGCACAGGGTTGTAGACTGAATTTGTATAGGTCCAAAAATAATTTCAACTAAATACTTAGCATTGCCTGATGAACAATGTAAACGAAATCTAAGATTGCAGGAAGTTTATAGTTCAAAGTCACCGTAAAATTCCGACATTTGTACACCCTGTCTGACTATGGAACTCAGCAACTGTAATTAATTAGTCACTGGTTAATTAAAAAAGATTTTCGAATGTATGGTTACTGACGAAAGATAGATGATAGTGATTAAGAATAAAGGTGAATTTATTATCGATAGTTAATCTTGTCTTGCCTGTATATATGGATAAGCTACAAACAGATGTGCGTCTGTATCGCCTTACAGTCTTACTTACGAGAGGTTGATACTTTAACAGATATATTACACAGAAGCGTCTAAATGCTGCTAACGTTTGTCCGAGAACCATGATAGCTGATTATAATCGTAGTTGACTGGTTAGTTTTATCGACTGAATTAATTAGTTAAGTTTAAATACTAACCAACAACACTATAAAGCAGCTAATGTTCTTAGTAACTAATGGACTTGAGCGACGATGAAAAGGGAAAAGAATAAGTGTAGAATGCAATAATAGAGATAATGATAATGAGTTGCGTTATTCGAAGTCTTGCTCACCAGTGTGGATCGCTAACGTACCTGATATGTGCCGAATGATTTGGCTGGGGCCCAGTGACATTTCACCTGCTCTTCGGCCCGATAGCTGGATTATCGAGCAATGGACAATAATAAGGTCCTGGAACTGTGAGGAAATAAAAAGAAGCGAGATCAAATAAATTAGTCAGTTTATGCAAGGTCGTCACAAGGAAATCGAATACATTAAAAGTTGGGTTTATTTTTGTCTGCTCACTAAGATTGCAATCATATAAATCCTCTCTACATCCAACTAGTCACTATCTTGGTATCTTGACAGCTACTCGTTCCGGAAACTACTATACATGGACAAACTATAGAATATATACTCATATAACTGATGAGAGAATAGACTACTCTCTCTGGACAAAATCTTAAATTCGGAGTCTCACATTAATACGGAGGAGTAAGTGTAGGACAAATGAAGGATTTAAATTAGCTCGTCACATGTTTATTGAGTATTGTTTGGATATTCGAAACTGAGGTTACTCTCAACGCGCGGTGATTTCAACATTGCTCCGTTTAGCTTTACTACAATTGTTGGGATCAAAGATCAAATTACAAAGCAACAACAGAGCCAAAGTGCACACTACAAAACAGAGAACGCTAAATTAATGGTTTTGCTATTTATTTCGTGCTTTTTATGTAGCATAGGATGACTTATATATGAAAAAAACTTGATACTCATGCAAACCAACCAACCCACGGCAATTGAAATACGGAATGACCGCCTCTAATCAAGCCGTTCAAGGTCGCTGAAACGAAAGGGCGGACACATTTCAAAAGGACCTAACGTTTAAACCGTGCCAGGTTAGCGAACAGATTCACGTCAATGCCAAACATAAAAGTGTTTTCTGGCAGCTCAAATCGAGACCTGGCTCAAAAGATAGCCGACCGTATTGGCTGTCGATTAGGCAAAGTTACTTCTAAAAAGTTCAGTAATCAGGAGACAAGGTTAGTAAAGTCCTCTAGATATATATTTCATCAACGACAAGTCTAACAATTGTAAATTTATAGTGTTGAGGTTGAGGAGTCAGTCCGCGGGGAAGACGTCTATATAATACAAACTGGTGGTGGAGAAGTCAATGACAACCTTATGGAACTACTCATAATGATTAGCGCCTGTAAGATCGCTTCAAGTTCCCGAGTGTCCGCAGTCATCCCCTGTTTCCCATACGCAAGGCAAGACAAAAAGGTGGGTCTGACACTTATTTTCGCTCAATGCCTAAAGTTCCTTGTAATTCTTCAGTTAAGGGAATGTAAATAAACTGTTTGTGGGAAGAACAGTCACTAAATCTTACTAAGAATTTTTGTGGTCATATCCTTCTGAGTACTGCAACCTTATTAACTTACTGCGGACGAATTATAAGTGCGTCGGTACTAAGCAGTCGAAACGTCATGTTGGAAACTCGTCTGGTGCTTGCATATAGTTTGTACCTTTGGAGTACCTGGTGTTGCATGTCTTATTAGCATTTATAGTAACAAGTCTCGTATCCACTGGTGAAGTTAACAAAACAAAAGGTGATGAAATCCAGTAGGGTCTCAACAAGTACGGCACATAAAAACTATTTACGAAATGGTCGTGTGCATGCGGCTACATGCAGTTGTCCTTTGGGCATTGCAGTCACGCTCCTAGGACTACTTCTAACCCAATTTAGTGAAAATTCACTATTCCTATTATTTCAGTCATGTTACGTCATGCGTCTATTTCAAACAGTGAGGGAAAAATTCTTTCCAAGTGATGTTTGTGTATTTGATTTTCAACTGAACAAGATTTTGTTCTTAGGTGGTTGAAAATGTAAAGATTATACATAATGTAACGAAGGTGAATATTTGTTACGAATTGTATTGATAGGTAACATTAGAAAGGGATTCAGTAGCAAGACAAAAATTTACAAGATCATTTTCAGAGACGTTTGCTGTAGATAAAATGTCAGCACTGTAACTGTTTACTTTATGGAAGAGTAGTAAAAAACAATATTTTATTTCAGCAAACTTAACATTTCTGAGACTAATTAGCTACTTTTGTCTTAAAATAGGATAAATCACGCGCTCCTATCTCTGCAAAATTAGTAGCTAATATGCTGTCAGTTGCCGGAGCTGATCATATCATAACAATGGACTTACATGCCAGTCAAATCCAAGGATTTTTCGATATCCCTGTTGATAATTTGTATGCTGAGCCTGCAGTCATCAAATGGGTCAAAACAAATATACCAGAATGGAAAGATTGTTGTATTGTTAGTCCAGATGCTGGTGGCGCTAAAAGGTAGTCTGCGTGCATTTACTATTAAACCATGATAAATTTATCTAAACTTAGTGTAGTACTCTTTCTAATTGTTGTTAGAGATAGAGAAAACTAAGTGAGTTAATAAGGATGAGTGGTGTGGATATCTAAACAAACCAATCCACTTTACCTGTCAAACTTCTGGTAGACAACAATGTTTAATACACAACTTCCGATAAAGAAGTTATTCACTGTCTTTTAAAGTGAGATTTGATGGGATAAAGAAGGCTGCTTTAAAATAGTGTAATGTATCGATTGGCTTCTCAAACCATTGAATTTATTAGTAATCTCCAAGTTATGTGTGAAATAATCAGAAACCAGTCTCAATTTTGACTTCACAAATGACTTAGCTGTTCGGTTTTATACGAACCACAAATTCCTGACGAGAACTGTCAGTGTATCACCAGTTTCAGCAGTAGTAGGCCTCACTATTGACAAAGGAAATGGCGAGATCCCAAAATACATCACAGAAAACAGCACTCGAAAGCCAGCGCCTGAAGAAGCGGAAGCTTTCACGTACCTTGACAGTATCATTAGTCAATAGAGGAGATGTAGTGCAGACGCGTGGGCACGGATTAGCAGTATAAGGATATTAAAGGAGATTTAAAACTCAAAAGGACTTTTAGCCAACACCAAAGTTAGGATTTGTAATACAAGCATCAAAACAGTTCTATTATATAGAGCTGAAACTTGAAAAACTACTACAACCGTCATAAAGATACAGGTGTTTACAAGCACACAAAGTGTCCCATATCCGTTGACCAGATACTATCAGCATTGGTCTACCCTGGCGGAGACCATACTGGCTTCCAGCTGAGCAGGAAATCACAACAGGACGCTTGAGATGAATAGGACGTGCATTGCGGAAATAACCTAACTTCATCGCGAGGCAAACCCTAACTTAAAATCCTGGTGGCAAAAGAAAAAGAGAAAAACCAGAGAATACTATGTACCAGGAATTGGAAGCAGACATAAAAAAAATGAAGAGAACTTGGGAACAACTGAAAAGAAGTACCCAAGATAGAAAGAATTGAAGATCTCTGGTTGGTAGCTCATGCTCCACGAGGGGCAACAGGCGTAAATAAGTAAGAAGTCAAGTCTAACTTCTCACAGTCCCCGTAGTGAAAAGAAGTTCATGTCATAACTATCACCAGAAAATCCTATATGTCAACACAAAGAGTTTTCTGCCATAGTTCCGTCAAGTCAAACTATCTACACACAAAAGATCATCTTAAATACATCAGTTCTAAGCTAAATATCTTGAATATAAACACACTCGTATTGTTTCTGTCCTTACAAAGGATTCATACGTGGGAGTCTCAGTAAACAAACACATCTAATAAAGTTTCAGTTTATAATTTTTCTCAGTTTGTGCTGACAATAATAACATCACTAATATTACAGCATCCTTTAGCAATTTGTTGTCAATGATGTGGTTCATATAACCTGTTTATAAATAAGCTAATGGTCACTTTATTTTGGGATTTAAACAACTTTTATTCTAGTCAGTCATACCACTGCATATGTTTTCATATGTGATATATTCAGTTGAAATGATCACCTCTTTTTATTCCACTCAGCTTCAGAGTTGAGAAGGATAAAAACTACTAAGACAAAATGGTTGAAATCTGATAAAGCTCTCCAACTCGATGTTTCAAGGCGTTAACATACGGAATTATCAACACTTCTGATCACATGCTCCTCGACGTTAGGATTACTTACTGATGCCTACATTTCCGTGGACAGACTAACTTCGCAACTACTCCGAAGTTGCCCCTAATTTGAATAAACTGCTATTACTTCCACTACACACGAACCTAATCTGTCACACCAGACATCTATCCAGGCACTCAGACGTATTGACTACTTCTAACCACACTAAAAGTAGTGAGTCCTAGCACACATGCTCGTAAAAATACGCATTATTTTTATGGTAGGAATCATTTGTGTTATAACTTGTGGCCTGTGTGCCCTGTTAATGTATAACGTAATGATACAGCCAATTATAGAACAGTGAATTATCGACCAGATCAATGACTCATTAAACCTGTACGAGCAGCTTCGAGTCCTTATCGGTCCTGCTTACCGCCTAGCCCAGCCTGTTAAGTCCAGGACACTAATCTCGGCCTCTGCGATATTAATCATGTATTTCAAACACTGGGTTTATATACCAACCAGGCAGACTACATCGTGTAGGATTTAGCCAAATGTGGCTGTGAATGTGGGAGGTAGTAATTAATAGACAGGGTAATTCACATGTTTATATCAATTATACTAAGGTCAGTAAAGGTCAAAGTACTCTGTTCATCAACTGATAATCTCAGAGCCCAGTTTCATCAGATTATTTGATGGCACTGTTTTAGGAATCTCACCCATAAAATCAAATGGCTGACTAAGCTTCTTCCCGGTACCTCAAACAGTTAACACTTTAATGGTCATACTAACTTCAAGACCCACCTTTTATTATTTCCTGCCTACATAATTTATGGGTATTTTATTCAATCGGTTTGATTTTCTGAGTCCATTCTTCTTTATTTTCATTTTATCCTTTGATTCTTTTTCAGAGTAACTTCAATCGCAGATCAGTTAAATGTTGATTTTGCCTTGATTCACAAAGAACGGAAACGTGCAAACGAAGTGGATCGTATGGTTCTTGTTGGAGATGTTAATAACCGTGTCGCTATCCTGGTTGATGATATGGCAGATACATGTGGAACGATATGCACTGCGGCAGACAAGTACACAATTTTATTTTAAATATTTTTCCTGGTAAACTAATCTAATTAATTTATATACGGTGTTGCCAGTGTTATGCCTTCTTGACGTGTCCACTTTGTCACACTTAAATCTATTTCCGCGACCACCTTAAGTATTCGTTTTTCATTCTGTGTATATTTCTATGGTATGTAGACTTATCTTTATTTCCTAACTTAAGCGCTTAATGTTCTGTTCATAAAATACAATAATATTAGAGTCACTGAAACCGAACATTGGTTATCTAAAAAGAATTCTTGTTGTCATGTGAATAAAATTCCAATGAATTTAGAATAACTTAGCGAAATTTCAGTAGTTTGAACACATTCAACAGCAAAAAGGTTGTATTTTGAAACTTTATTTTATTCCTTCTTGATAATACCATCAACTCTGAATCTAGTGTGTTATGACTGGTGTTTATATACTACGGATTCGATGTTATTATTTTGGTTCATTGAAGTAAGATAATATTGCTTCGAAAACAATAAAAAAAGTTAGGTTAAAATAGTTCACAGCAAAAGCTGAGTTCTTGTTCTCTCTTTGTTTACTATTGACATCGATGAATGGTTTATCTGGCTGTAACTAAATAAGATAACTATCATTTGAAGATAATAATATTTATAAAATAAGAATGGTAATTTTGCTGAAAGGGTTGGTGATTAATTCTGTGTTCAATCAAGAAGGAAATAATGTACAACACTTCATGTTAACCCAAATTTATGTGCTCTTTAAAATACTATTTAGCCTCTATAATCACCTGCGAATTGCCCGGTTTTCTTTTGGAGTGTCAGCTTTTTTGCCAAAACAGTCCGAAATTCAGATACAACTTATCCACTTGAGCACTTCATTAAACAAACTAGTACTGTTTTCAACTGCGTCTACTTAAATGGCACTCGGAATTCTGATCGTTGGTTGAGATCAAGACATTCCAATTCATCTGTCATATATTATAACCGATTATTCCAAAGTAATTGTGGGGGCCTAGTAGTCATCCCTTCCGACTTCTGGTCCTTTGGTTACAAGTTTGAATCTCACGCTGTCTACTTCCATTTGGACACCTGGATATTAGTAACCTTCACACCTTAATTGTTACTCAAAGTTAATTACATAGATTTGTACTAGTTAAGTGAGTTTACAAAACAAAAAGTTTGTAACTACATAGTAAAATACATAGTTAGCTGACAATCTTGTTAATTATCTTTTATTAGACGTTTTGTAACGACTCCAACCGCAAGTAACTAATATGATGACATATAAGAACGACACAAAAATGACTATCTTCCATTTTCGAGTATTTTTTACTTTATTTGAAGATGTGGCAGTTTAAATCATGTGTTCTTGGGAAGAAATTGTGACATTGTAAGCACTAATAGCAGTGTGACTTGAGAATCGCCATACAGATTCCTCCTAAATTAGACTGTTATTGACATTCACTTTATGAAAGTCAGCTATACTACCCTCTTCATGAGTGAATACATCCTTTATCATTGATTGCTACTGTTAAACCTTTTTTTTTCTGTCTTTTGATATTTATAATATTTGTTATGTTTCTAAAATTACAGATTGATTGAAGCTGGCGCTGAGCGTGTTTACGCTATCTGCACTCATGGTATATTTTCAGGCCCAGCTTTGGAGCGAATTAATAAGTCAGCTTTCGAAGCTGTTGTTGTAACAAATACTTTGCCACAAGAAGAAAATATGCGGAAAGCTCCCAAAATTCAGGTAAGGAAATTCTGAAATCAACACTAAGGTATTGGGATTTTAACTAACTAGTTGATTAACTGCATGAATTCCAATGTATTCGTATCGTTTTTTTTCTTGGAAGGGTAGACAAATGAGAAATAAAATACCAACAAGTACCGTGCTTCGCTTTGAAATTTTAAGTGCTTAGCAACGTAATACTTTGTAAGCCTTTCTTAATACTGTGCGAGTTCACATAATTTGAAGTCATAGTTATTCCTTCCAAACAAACTGGAAATGAGAGATTTTATTGATATAGGGTTTCAGAGATCATTAAGTTTTTTAATTGATATCGTGAACCGGTCGGTGTTAGACCACCATTGAAAACTTGGAAGCACTGGATGGCCATTTCGTCCTATTGTGGGGTGCCGGCTCTGTGGTCTAGAGGTTAGGCGTTCGTGCGCGAGACTGAAGGCCCTGGGTTCGAATTCTGTGAACGGGATCGTTGATGCGCACTGCTGAGGAGTCCCAAAATAGGACGAAACGGCCATCCAGTGCTTCCAGGTTTTCTATGGTGATCTAACACCAATCGGTTCATGATCCCAATCAGAAATCTTATTGCAATATTTATCCAGTTGAAAAATAGGTAGTGCAAATGTTTGAGCAGCCCGCCATTTTATCAAAAGGTTAGGAATACGAATATTCCCATGAATATAAAAAAGCGACTCATCAACCTAATTAATGTTTGCGTATAAGGATGTAAGTTAAATTTATTTAGTGAAAGTTAATAAGTGAACACAAGAAAAATCGAGTTCTTAATCTAATGTCAAAAGTTAAGGTTCAGTAACAGACAAACAATGCAAAGTCTCGCATAGTTGGGGTAGTAGTACTACTACACTACACTTCACTTAAGAACAAAAATGGTGAAATAGACTAGATGTCTAATATTTGTGGGACTATGCAACTGTTAAAACTCCATGATTAATAACTTAAATGTGAGGTGATTTTTTGCAATCCTCAACAATTTGTTCTGTTCTATAAAATCGATAATCAATGTAAGGTATAAATTGTCTGAAATCAATCTCTTTTTATTTAAGGAAACACTTATTTTTTCTTTTGTTCTTCTTTTCAGTGTATTGATGTAAGCACTATGTTGGCTGAAGCTATCCGTCGAACACATAATGGTGAATCTGTCTCCTATCTATTTAATCATGTCCCTTTGTAACAACAACAATAATAATTCTGAATCAATCACCTCCCAAATGACAAAATAAGTGACAAGCTAGAAAAGATTGTTTTCTTTATCACTATCCACTTTATATTTGTATTTTCAGCATGTTAAGATTTTTTTTCCTTTTAAAGACTTATATATTTTCTAGTCTTGTTCCATTTAATCTAATGTATTTTGTTCATCGAACTATTCCATATTGAAATATCTTTATTCATCATTAAATGCATCGAATATCTTTTTTTTTGTAGCAGAAAATAATTGATTTACCTTTAACGTAATTAGTTTTGATTTAGTTTGGTTTGATTGTTTGTTTTTATTCTCTTTTTTTCTTTTTAGAGAATCCAATAGTCTTCTTTTAGTCCTTTGTAATATATTCTGTTGTTCGTCTATGTAATTAGTATTATTACTTGTAATTTGTCGAAAACATAACCCTGTAATCCTGAATAGATCAGCGACTGGAGACAACAAACTATTGTGAACAGCTGACTGAATTGTATTAAGTTTTTGATTGAGATCATGAACCGGTTGATGTTAGACCACCATTAAAAACCTGGAAGCACTGGACGGTCGTTTCATCTTATTGTGAGACATGACCAGTGGAGCTAATGTGTGTCAAGTAGAGACAGGTATGTACCTCAGTACAATGGGATATGGTCGCGCGATTTCTTAGATTGGCTGAGGTTAGACATTAATACCGTTGAATACCGGCCATCTCAGAGGTCTAGAGGTTAAGCGTTTGCGTGCGAGACCGAAGGCCCTGGGTTAGAATCCCGTGAGCGAGAGAAGTCTCACAGTGCCTCCAGGTTTTCAATGGTGATCTAACATCAATTGGTTTATGATCTCAATCAAAAACTTAATAATCTCCATAATCCCATACTGATGAATCGTATTATATTCGAGATTGATGAGCAGTAATATGCAAAGGTTTTTCTGACCATTAGAAGCACTGTAACATCTATGATTGCTGTCATGTAGCCCAATCCTCTTTAAGAATATACATTCTTGTTTTGCTTTTACATACGTTTTCAAGGCAATGGGTTCCTTATGAAGGTTATATAACTGGCACTAAATATTCCCGATATTTTTCCGGTGAATTTCAGGTCATTTTAAAGTATCTAATCATTTAGCCTTTTCGTTCTGATTCCAACTATATTTATGACAGTTGGCTAAAACGTTTTAAGTAAATTCGTATATGCCCATTATAATTTTCAATAATCATTATTATTATTAATGGAGTTATGTTCAAGTAAATAAGTTTGATCCAACTTTTGGGTATAATAAAAGTGAAATGAGTTTTTATAAAGCTGCTTCATATAAACTTGAAGCTAGAATTAAATTTTTAGTTAAACTTAGATTAATCATGTTTCCTCATAGCGAAGGAAATCATTTCCAACCTATCTGAAGTTTGGTGGTGTTTTCCTAATATATTAGTATTAAAGCCCCCTTGTATCAATATTCATGTGTTAAAATAAATACATTGAATCACAGCTCTCTGCCCTGGTACGACTGCGGGCGAGGAGAGTTAGTTCTATTTCTCGAAGTGCTCTCACATGACCATGTGTATACAGCCACTGTCAGGAAATTCCAATTCACAGCCTTCTCGCGGCGGGGGCGTTGTTTATGAATTTGTGAAGAAGAAAAACGAATATTTGGTGCTTTAACTGGGAGTTGAAATACTCTGATCCCAAACCAACGGTGCATATGGGCTCTAGTAACCTGAAGGAACAAATGGCGTATGAATCAATCGTTGGTCACCGGCTACCATGACGTTGCTTCAATGCCTTGTGGATCAAACTTTTAGGTAGAAGACTCCGCGTATGGCCCCCAAAGTAAACGATCTGTTTCTGCCCGGGCAGTATCACAGCCCACACATAAATCATGTGACTTGTGTGTCGCATATGTATTCGGTGCTCCTTTTCTACCAATACTTATGTGTTCATATAATATATATATATATATATATATATATATATGAAAGTTTGAGCTGATTTCTGTTTTCAACACAACCACTAACAGTCAAAAAGTTGATCAGGTGAACTAACCGAATCGTTTCTTTGCGAAAAGCCAACTTATTTAATCGAACTGTTATCCTTCATTTACAGAATGAATCAGAATAGAAAATCCAACCCAGTAATAAGACCGATTGGCTTGTACTTTGATAAGGTTAATTCACACTCGTCAATTATACGCTTATTATCAAAAGGGGTTTTGTGAAGATCTCAGTAATTTTGTGGTTGAATTCATGAGTCAGTTGAAGCTAAATCACCATGGAAAACCTATAAGCAGTGGAAGGCCGTTTCGTTCTATTGTGAGACTCCTTTGCAGTGCGCATCCACGACCCCGCCCTGCGAGATTAAACACTGTATTCTATGAGATAGTAACTTACTGATGACAGTGGTGGACGGTGGCTAATTTTCATGGATTGGTTGAAGTTGGATATTAACACCGTTGGATACCGACTCAGTGGTCTGGAGGTTAGGTGTTTGCGCCCGAGACTGGTAAGTCCTGGGTTCGAATCCCGCGGGGCGGGATCGTGGACGCGCGCTGCTGAGGAGTCCCACAATAGGACGAAAAGGGCGTCCACGTTTTCCATGGTGGTCTAGCTTCATTCGAATCGAATTCAATTATACGATTGTTAATATTGTAGTGAACGAGAACAAAAATGAGGACAACCGACCGTAATCGAATTCAAAGTTACAGAGTATCTTAGTAAAGCCTGAGAACCATACAATAAATACTTCGTTTGTAAAATGTCGATCGATCGTCTCAGACTCCATTGTTCCCTCATTTCCACACCAATCATTCTCTGTTCTCGTTCTCTTTTCTGCGATCTTACGTCAAGCATTTCACTTTTGGTTGGTGATTCATACTACTTGTATTTGTCAACATCAGTAGTACACCTCTCACAATTAATGACCATTGTTAGACCTTATTCCTTTCTTATATGTCATTATTTTGTGAATATTATAATTATTTTGAAGTAATATTGTTATTATTGCTGAATGGTAAGTTTTCATTATCTGAAGTTGTTCCTTTCATTTTCTACATATCCTGTTGAATAAATTTCCACCATTCTACAATAAATCCGTTCTTTTGAACTAACATATATATCCATATCCATTGTATATTTTACGAAATTGAGAGGAAGAAAAGCGAATGTCCGGTGCTTTAACGGGGTTGGTGGTGTTGGAAATCCCTGACCCCGAACCAATAGTGCACATGGGCTCCAGTATCCTGAAGGAACAAGTGGCGTCTGAACCAATCGTTGGTCACAGACTAACATGGGACTGCATCTCCTGACGTTGCTCCACTGCCTTTTAGATTAGACCTTTAAGTCGAAGGCATCGTGTGTGGCCCCCTAAGAAAACCACCTGTTTCTGTCTGGGCACCCGGGCACTATTCTAATCCTCACATAAATCTAATGAGTTATGTGGCTCATATGTTTTCGATGCTCTTTTGTACCAATCTTTATGTGTTTAAATAAATAAAATGAGGTGTTTATAATTGTTAACTTTGTCCGTTTATATTAATGGCCGCATTTGTCAATATGTTACAATGTATTTTCTATGAGTAAATTATAACTTCTAGTAGTATCGGATTATTTGTTTATTTTATTTCAACACATAGATATTGGTACAAAGAGGCACCAAATACATATGCGCCACACAAATCTCATTCGATATGTGTGAGGGCTGTGATACTTCCCGGGTGCCGAAACCGAAGCAGGTGGTTTTTTTAGGGGTCAACTCCCCGAGCCTTCGACCTGAAGGGTTGATCCAAAAGGCAATGGAGAATCGTCAGGAGATGCAGTCCCGTGGAAGCCGGTAACCAACGATTGGTTCATACGCCATTTGTTCCCGCAGGATACTGGAGCCAATGTGCACCATTGGTTTGGATTAATAATGCATTCATCTTATAATTTTTGTACACTTGTTTTCTTTTTCTCTTTTTCTTCTATACATCCATATAACTTTCCAGTGATTTATTTATATCATGATTGATGAAGAATCAATTGATTCGATTGCTTCAAAAATTCATCTTCTACAAAGATCTCAATTTATTAATCTACCATTGTTACCATTATTACTATTATCGGATTTTAATTCATCATCAATTCAGAATAACTTATCAACCTCTAAAAATTATGCGAATCCTTCTACTACTACTCCTACTGCTACTACTATTACTACAAATCCTCCTCCTCCTACTTTTACTATGAATAGTAATAAAGGTGTTGAGAATAACAAATCTTCACTAAGAAATTCTAAGCATACAAATGATTGGTCTAGATTAAATAATATATCTGATACAAAGGTAAGTTGGAAGTTATTAGTACCTTATTCTTAACGTTGATATAGTTTTAGTTAACTTGAATAAGTTGAGTAATTTTAGAGAGTCGTCGATGAATAACTAGATAACTAAAGAGTAAGCCATCATCTAATGTAATTTACATATTTTCAAAATGATTCATCATTGATTTCAATCGTCACTTTACGACTTTCTTAAATTAATTTGCTTAACCTCACAAGTCATCATATTTCATTGTCAGTTATGCAATCTAATCTGAACTAAACTAACAGTCTTTGTTCGATTGTTGCTCATTTTTCATTATAGAGTTACTCATTTTAGATTCAACCTAACAAATTCCTTTGAAGAGTTACTTAGTTGAATATATAACCCACTGCTAATTAGTGCTTTGTTTTAAGAGTACAACAAACGTACTGAGTGTTCATTGATAGAGCTAAAGCAGAAATGTGTTGATCAGTATGTTTAAGATATGTCCATTTACCATCTTGCAAAGGTGAGTAAAATAGACGTAGATTAACCATTGGTACATCAAGAAATGTTGTCAGTTCATAAAGTATCTTTTTTTTCTTGGAACTGTGTACTCAGTTAATATCCAATAAATCTAGCGAAATAACTAAATGAATGAGTATGCTTATTAGTTAAGATTTATATATGTCAGTGAAAGAAATTATGAATCAGAATAGATAAGAATGACTGAAATGCATTATTTACCGGAAACTCCTCCTGGAGTCCCTCTGGGGGCTACTGCCAGTCCCAAGCCCGGATAACGGAGCAGGGTTGGGCATGGGGTTAGCGACCCCATCCCGTAGAAAACTAACTTACTAAAGAAACGCTAACCAGAAATTATTTACCAGAATCTGTGTATAATACAAATTCTGTCAATGTAATCTTTCTATGAAACGTTACCATATAAGTCATTCGATAAGATTAGATTTTCTAATCTCAATACTTTGATTAATTCAAATGTGTCAGTCAGTCAAATGTGTCACTTACTATATTTTAATAACATAATAGAAAATTACCATCATCAACAAATCACTTGGATTTACTATTTTGTCAGTACTATAAGTTTATGTATCTCTTATCTCCTGTTTTTTCCCTGTTCTTACAGTGTGAAAAATTAGTATTGTATTTATTGTCATTGCTTTTTTATTGCACATGGTTCTATGTTACTTTGTATTCTAAGCATTAGACTACTTTCAGAGGTTTGGCCGCCCGAGCATTATTTCAGCCCTCACATATATCGATAGACTTATGTGGAGCATATGTATTTGTTTTTATTTATTTATTTCAACACATAGATAATGGTACAAAGAGGCACCAAATACATATGCGCCACACAAATCTCATTCGATATGTGTGAGGGCTGTGAAACTGCCCGGGTGCCCAAACCGAAGCAGGTGGTTTTCTTAGGGGGCCACACCCCGAGCCTTCGACCTGAAGGTCTGATCCACAAGGCAGTGGAGCATCGTGAGGAGATGCAGTCCCATGGAAGCCGGTGACCAACGATTGGTTCATATGCCATTTGTTCCCGCAGGATACTGGAGCCCATGTGCACCATTGGTTTGGAATCCGGTTAAAGCGCCGGACATTCGCTTTTCGTCCTCTCATTTTCGTAAACAACACCCCCGCCACGAGAAGGCAGTGAGTAGGACTTCCCTGGCAGAGGCTATATACGCGTGGCCGTGTGAGAGTATTTCGAGAGGGAGAGCGGACTCTCCCCACTCTCGGCCGTACCAGGGCATTTGGGGGCACCTTCTTGTATCAATGTTTATGTGTTTAAGTAAATAATACTTTCAGCATCAGGTTTAAATACGTTACGATTAGTTCTATGAACCAGAATATACTAAATAGTTCTGTGTAGATGGTTCAGACAACGAGTAAGAAGTCTCATGACCGATACCAAAATCGTACTAAAAAATTCCTCTAAGGTAAAGTAATTCCTAAAAACAGAATGAAGCGTTAGAAATGCCCGGTAAATAAATAACCCAATTTTTAGCTCCGTAGATTTCTGTTTTCTCCAGCGCTGTTTTAAAAGTACAGAGTTGATACAAACAGAAACGGGTCCTCACACTTTCAAGAATCTTTCTTTCGTTTCTGAAGAATTACGTCACTATAATATGTGAATCCAGGATTTGTTGATCCCCGCTTGCATTCAAAACCACCCGAGTCGATTGTTGTTATTGTAGGCGGTGTTTGAGATCTGATACTGATACGTGTATCCCCAAACTGATTACTTAAGCGAGAAGACAAGAGTGGAAGAGAAAGTGTATTGGGTTACCGAACAACATGCATAAACATATATATATATATATATATATATATATATATATATATATATATATATTTCCACCCTTTAAAAAACCAATACACTTCCTAGCCAGTGATATGTATCTGTCCTTCAAGTCATCTCTGATTGTCATCAAGTGACCCTGTCTGGCTACTTCTGATTGGCTCATTACATAATCTTTCCCTTTTGAGGAACTTAGTCCTCACTTTGGCGTTGAGGGAAACAACGTTCAGTTGTCCTTACCTCTGATTTATAATCTGGCTTTCTTCTCTCTGGATACGTGGCGTCATGTGAAGTCCGAGTCTCTTTCAAACATTGATATGGCTGGCGATACATCCTTGAGTGAGGCTGTGTACAGGATTATTCCGGGTGGTTTTCTCCATCATTAACTTCCCTTGTGATAATCTCGAAAATCACTGGAAACTTCTGCTTCCATTTGTGCATAATATAAAAATAGGAAGATATTTGATTATAAATAAGATCAGACGACTGGTCGGACATTTTTAAATCTGTGATCCAGTCGAGATCTAATCAATAGATTGAAAGATTCGTCGGTAATCTAACATCTAGATTTGATTATCAGATCATTAATTTTGACTGTACATTTGATAATTCCAGAAATTTCGATTGGGATACCTGATGCATTCTTTATGCAATCATTAATAGGATGGATGCTTGGCTGACCAAGTTTTGTGAGAAATCAAAGCAACATTGGATACATTATCCAAATTCAGTGTGATAATACGATCATTAACATTGATGGACACAATTGTATAAGCATTTAGGGTTGGGTTCCAATAAAACATGTACAAAATTGATTCTTTTTAACATTCGATGATGTGATGAGGGTTCTCTGCGTTTGAGAAATTCCTCCTTATGGTCAGTTACCCCACATTTTGAGCATTAATGATTATTGAATTGGCAGGAACGGGGTAAATGCCATGCCTCACATTTTCAACATCTATTGAGAGGCCTTGTAGAGAGACGTGAATTAGAGTCATAGACATCATACATTAGATTCGAGCGAGGAAAATTTCGCGAATCATGCTTTGCGACATTAATTGTGTGGTCTGAATGAGAAATTCTCATCAATTCAAGTGAATTGGGATTTGAACACCCTATCGTTTTAGTATCACAACATGCATTTGTGTTATCTTTCGACGTAAGAATGAAATTTGACTCGACTCTGCTTAATATTTTAGTACGGTTATCTCAGTCTGAAGGTGATTGCAATTTGTATACAAACATAAGGCACTTAAATTCGTCGTCTGAAAGTGTATATAACCTGAAATTCTCTCATTGATTATTAAGAAATGCTGGTCGGCGGTCTATGCTCCATTGGGAGTAACAGGTGTAAGTAAGTGCATATGAAACAAAATCATCTTCAAATCTCTTAACAGTTTAAAGAGAATTATATCTCAAATTAAAAGAGGAATCGTAGAGTTTTTGGGTTAGATAAAGTTGGAATATTTTTCATACTCGATTACTCCAAGCTTACGAAATAAGTGTCATCATGATGAGAAAACTCAACTTGTAAAATATTTTCATAACTATTTGAACCATGATTCAACTGTTACACCAGCATCAGGATCAAAATGAAACTCGTTCATTGAATTGATCAATGATTTGGTAGTTGAACCCCTTAATTCGGATACTTGTACTAAATTTTCTTGAATTGACAACTTTTATACCATCACTTCGATCATTCTTAATTGTGATGCTTGAAATTCTTTTTACTAATGCTGCAAAATAGATTTGAACTGATCTACTGAAATTGACATTCTGATAAAACAAGCTAATTCATAAACTAATCTAAATATTAACCCTGAAATATGTTCTGAAAAGAACTGTCAGTTGACCAATTAATTGACCATCTTAAACAGATGAAGCTTAATCAATATTGAAGCTGGTTATTTATTATTCAACAATTTCTCGTTATTTTCCAATCCATTAAAGGAACGTAGTTTCTTTCGACGTTTACTTATGTCCTATTGGTGTCCTAGACCTATAAATGGAGCTCAAATGTTACTAGAAGAATTAAAATATTCATATTGTTTCTCTACTGGAATTGACAAGTTAGTATTAATTCTTTATAATGTTGTACCGCAGCTTTATTTGAACGTTGTAATTGAAATGTGCCGCTATATTTGTTGTATAATTTTAAAGAAGAAACTTATTACATCATAAGGAGGATATTAAAGGTTGTTCATCAATGAAAGGTTTACAGTTAGTGTTACCATACAATCATACTAGTATTTATTACACACATTATATATATCGAAAAGATATTATTAATGCATTATTACTTTCAGAAGGGGTTTTGTGAATGTTATAATAATTTCAATAGTTAAGATCATGAGTCAATTGAAGGTAGACCACCATAGAAAACCTGGAAGCACTGGATGACTGTTTCTTCCTATTGTTGTACTCCTCAGCAGTGCCCATCCACGATCCCGCCTCGCGAGATTCCATGATGGTCTAGCTTCAATTGAATCATGATCTCGACTATTAGAAAAATTACTATAATATCCACAAAACACCTGATACTAATCAACATATTCTCACTAGTGATTGGCTTCAAAAGTTATTTCCTAGAGTTCTAGTGAGAAGCAGTGACCAGTGGAGTTCAACTGGGTCTGTTGTGAGATGGTAACTTACTGAAGACAGTCATGGATGTGTCGCTCGATTTCGTGGATTAGTTGAAGTTGGACATTAACACGGTTGAATGCCGGTCATCTCACTGGTCTAGAGGTTAGGCGTTCGCAAGCGAGACCGATAGGTCCCGAGTTCAAATCTCGCGAGCTGGAATTGTGGATGCGCAGTGGTGAGGAGTCCCGCAATAAGACGAAACGGTCGTCCAGTTTTTCAAGGTTTTTTTTTATCGTGGTCTAGCTTCAATTGACTCATGATCTCAACTATTAAATGCATTATTAATTGTTTGATTTTAAAATCATTTAGCAGATCAAGAAGCATAGAATCAAGTAAGATGAGATTTATTAATAAGTAAAAATTAATACAGTAATGTGTGTCCTCTTGATAAGTATATAAAAGATGGAGGGAGATATTGACAGGTAGATAAGCTGATTATAAGTGGGAGTTAAGACCTTAGTGAATCTATCAGATTCATTACTATTCATCTCACTATCCCTACATAACTATTGTTGATATTCAGCCACATTTATTTATTTGAACACATAAATATTTGTACAAACGGGCACCGAATACATATGCGACACACAAGTAAGTCACCTGATTTGTGTGTAAGCTGTGATACTACCCAGGTGCCCGGACCGAAACAGATGGTTTTCTTGGGGGGCAACACCCAGAGCCTTCGACCTAAAGGTCTCATCCACAAGGCAGTAGAGCAACATCAGGAGATCCAGTCCCATGGTAGCCGGTGACTAATAATTCATTCATACGCCATTTGTTCTCTCAGGATTCTGAGGCCCATGTTCACTATTGGTTTGGAATCAGGGTTTTCCAACCCCTCTCGATGGATCCTTCTTATTCACCAATCCGGTAAAATCGCTGGGTATTCTCTTTTCGTCCTCTAAGTTTTGTATGCAACAAGACTTTTCGACAATTTCACTAATGATTGTGTGATCTATCAAATTTCTCGCAAGTCTCAATTTATTTAATATCCGACCATTGTTGCTACCTTGATATGGTGGTGGGGCTTGCTTATCGTGTTGAAAATATCATCATCTTTATCCTTTACCCAACGCCTGAGTCAAATCAAGAATATGTGATTTCTGAATAGAAGTAATCGTATTATGGCCCATAATAACTTAGTATACTTATGTATTGCTCTGATTTTAGTGATTTTTGTCTAATCTCAATGAATCTTAATCGTCTTCGTTTATGACAAAATAAAAATTTAGAAGCATTTTATTCTTTAATAATCAAGTATTGATTGTACATTCATATTAAAAAAAACCCAGCTTGGACAATCTACTTAATGGAGGTTTAAGAACCAGTGAAATTACAGAAATAATCGGTAAATCTTCTAGTGGGAAAACTCAAGTAAGTAGTGATTGTATGTTTGTATTTGTGTTTTTAGAATATTCCGAATAATAATCCTTTCTAATTATTATCGTTTATTTTAACACATAGATATTGGTAAAAGGGGGCACCAGATACATATGCGCCACACAAATCAAATGACTTTTGTGTGGAGGTTGTGATACTGCACAGGTGCTCGAACCGAAGCAGGTGGTTTTCTTAAGGGACCACACCCGGAGCCTTCGACCTAAAGGTCTAATCCACAAGGCGGTAGAGCAACGTCAGGAGATGCAGTCCCATGATAGCCGGTGACCAACGATTGGTTCAGACGCTACTTGTTCCTTTAGGATACTGGAGCCCATGTGCACTAGTGGTTTGGAATCAGGGTTTTTCAACTCCCCTAGGTGGACTCTCCGTGTGCACCAACCCGATTAAGGCGCCAAACTTTCGCTTTTTGTCCTATCAATTTAGTAAACAGAACGAGAAGGCAGTGAGTAGGACATCATTGGCACAGGTTATATTCACGTGGCCGTGTGAGGGCATTTCGAGAGGGAGAGCGGACTCTCCCCACTCTCGACCGTATCAGGTCGTTTGGGTCATCGTCTCTTGGTGCTTCTGAATGGCATGAACCAAACAGACTGCTCGTGAATCAACCAGAGGTGAGGCACCTCGAAAGCAGCTGGTCACCAAGGCTGCGCGCAAAAGTGTCCCAGCTACGGGGCGCGTGAAAAAGCCACATAGATACAGACCTAGGACCGTCGCCCTCCGAGAAATCCGTCGTTACCAGAAGAGTATCCTGTCTATAGCAATTAACTTCTTAATTGGAGAATAGGCAAATGATCTTGACTAACATACTATATTGTTTAACAAGATAAAGGATTTAGTTTTGTTTAACTGTAGAATTTTTAATATATTTTGTTTTGTTTAAAAATTATTATTTGGCTATTATCACTTCTAGGATTGGTCACTTTAAATGCTATATCATAACTTGTCATGAAATGATTACTTACTTGCGCCTGTTACTCCCAATGGAGCATATGCCGCCGATCACTATTCTCCAACCTCCTATGTCATGGACCTTCCTTTCTAGTTCTGTCCATTTGTTGTTCATTCTTTTTGCGGACATAAAGGAAGTAATTGTCCATCGAATCGTACGCCTCAGCCCAAGAATAAGCGTAAACGTTCTCGACGCACCAGATCCTACGAATTTTCTCAAAGGGGAGGTGTTAGCGGGACATAGATTGGGTTGAAACATGCTCATTGCACGATTGCTTTGGTGCACGCTGACTGGCTAATTCTTATCCAATCAGCGCTATTCGATACTTGGAGAACATTCTAGAATCCTTCTCATGTAAAAACTATAAATATACTAACGTTTTTCCTACTGTGCTTCTTACTTCCATCTACCCTTGTTATTTGGAATATAGTTTCTTTCCTGTTTAACCGTGTTCTGATTCGGGGACTTGTCGAGTGAATTGGTGTCCGAGAGCACTAATCAATAGGAATAGCTGGGTTGTAATAAGAAATAATTATAACACTTTTCATGTTTGTCTCCATTTCTCGGCGTAATGTGTTCTTTGGTATTCCTCTTCTCGTTTGACCTTGAGGACTCCAAGCGAGGGCTTGCCTTGTGACGCAGTTGGATGCTTTCCTCAATGTGCATCCTATCCACTTCCGGCTCTTCTTTCTGATTTCTTCCTCCGCTGGAATCTGGATTGTTCTCTCTCACAGTAGGTTGTCGCTGATATAGTATCTGGCCAACGGATCCGAAGTATTTTGCGTGGGCAACTGTCAATAAACACTTGTATCTTCTAGATGATGGCTTTCATAGTTCTCAAATTTTCCACCCCATACAGTAGAACTGTTTTGACATTTGTACATTTGCACGCGATTGAAATGTCCATCAAATTCGGAAAGTAATTTTAAAGAAATATTATTTAAAGCAGGTTTTTCAACAAATACATATAACGCTGAATAGCAGCTCACGTGCAATTGAGTTTGTTCACATTTCATTTAGTTGAGCCCTTTATTTAACTTATTTAACTGACAGAATCATTCTTACAATAACAACTTATCTATACTGTTATAATTCTCATTACAACCCAGCTATTCCTATTGATTAGTGCTCTCGGACACCAATTCACTCGACAAGTCCCCGAATCAGAACACGGTTAAACAGGAAAGAAACTATATTCCAAATAACAAGGGTAGATGGAAGTAAGAAGCACAGTAGAAAAAACGTTAGTATATTTATAGTTTTTACATGAGAAGGATTCTAGAGTGTTCTCCAAGTATCGACTAGCGCTGATTGGATAAGAATTAGCCAGTCAGCGTACACCAACACAATCTTGCGTGGAACATGCTTTATTCCAACCTATGTCCCACTAACATTTACCATTGTACTTTTATTATTGTTGCACTTGTATGAATATGTATGCTCGAGCATTGCTTACTGCTTACGGATATATTCATTCTGCTAACCTTACTATTAGTCGATTCGATGTATATGTATATTTTAATCATGTTTATTTACTCGCTTGTCCGCTTGATTTTCGGCACTACTCTTTTATACTTGCTTATCGTACTTGTAATTTTGGTGATCAGTGCGTAGTGCAATAATAAACTTAATCAACGCTTCGTATTTGACTTCTGATTAATACATCGTTGGGGTGTTATCTAGTGAAGGTTATCAGGACGAACTGTATACGAAGTTTAAGGATTATATTGAATACAGACCACCACAACAAGGGATTTTAATGAAAATAAAATTGGAGCGTATTGGCATTAAATTTCAACCTAGTAAGATTTGAGTTGACACACTTACTACGTAAAGTTGTGTAAATGACTACTGCAAGCTAAAGATTACTGGACAACTAGTTCTTCCTAGTTAATGTCTTTTCACCCATGTGCATATCTGCTCAAGATAATAACTTCTAGTCTCATTATCAAATCCAAGTATCCTGGCTAGTTAACGAAGATACAATGAAGTCATAAAACAGACATAACTGCAAATTCAAATTGATTGTTTACTATTTACAACAAATCTTAGAAATAAAACTCATTACAAATCTGTGAAGTGACATTCATTTCGAATGTAGGAACTAATACCGAAATTCAAAGATTTGAACGACACTAGCATTTCAAATTGTTAATGTAACAATTAATTCAGAACGTCTGTTAGAAAGAGGTCAAATGTAATAAGATTTGTTTGTAAAGAGTTATTTATTTCATTCTTTTATCCTTATACTTACGTCCCCAAGTGATAATAGTGATCAGATGTTTAAAGTACCTAGCCTTGGATATCGGCATATTGGCGTTGTGAAACATGGATTTCTGATGAATGTCATAAGATGATGATACAGTAGTTAGTTTAATGTTTTTTTTACTCACCTTTATTATCGTTAGTTGTCGTTAGAATCATTATTTCTAAGGATATCTGTTGGCAACAAACCTGCTAGGCATTTCAAGTGAATTGATTAGATAGTTAATAAGTCACTTTTCTGCAATTTATTACAGCTCATCGGTTATATGTTCACCTATTAACTACTTGGTTACTAAATCCTACCTGTTTTAATCAGCTGAAAAGAAAGTTTTGTGCAGTTTTAAGTACAGCCTCAAAATGATAGCCTTTCTAACAACTATTCAATTATATTGTATGTTGGTCTCGAACTGTTTACCTTATCGTTGTTTTTGTCTGTTTTATTTCAGTTCTGCCTTTCTGTATGTGCTTCTGTACTTCGAAATTATAAAACTGTATCCATCATCTATCTGGATACAAAAGGTGATTTTATTGCAGATAGATTACTAGAATATCTTAAAAAGCAAAATCTCAAACACGCTAATGTACCGACGAATGCAGCAACAAAAGATGAACATGGAACTTCCAATGTTCCAAACTATGTGAGTTTTTATGAAACTAATCTTAAAAAATTAGTTCTATGATGAATTTAGAGAATGCAATGAAAAGATTAAGGTTATCAGTACTATATGACCTTTTTAACTAAAGACTCAAATATATATGTCTTTATATCCAGTGCGTGGATAACAGCACAGTCTTAAGTGACGTACATGAAGATGTGAACTCCCTGTTAATGAAACAATACAATTCGAATGCATATCAGCTTTGATACTGTCACCGTACTGACCAAACGATGCGTACGCTAATGAAATCCTGTGCATTTCGTATATGTTTTGTTGACAAATGACGTTGATACAACGAAGGTAATAAAAGTCAAACATGAGCTGTATTTAGAATACGTATATTTAAGACACACTTATAGTGAACAGTAAATAAAAAGTACAGCGATTGTATAAAGCATTAAAGCTCGGGAATACGCTAAATTCGCGAATATATGGATGACTATAAATTATTTAGGAAGTACAGGAAGTGTATAGATCCATACCTACTATCATTCACACAAGGTTATACATGAGGGATTGGCAAAGTTGAGCATATGATTGACATAATGACTGGAAGAATCAGAATAATTTGTTTGTTCATAAGCTAAAACAAATCATATAGGCGTTATAACGCGAAAAATCCTACATAATCTTTCATTTTAGGAGCAGATGAATAACCACTAAGCTCATCATCTTGGACATATTAATTATTAGAAGAGACAATAGCTCTACCAAATATTCTATTCATAGAAAGCCTATATGGATAGGACTGTATGCAGGCTTTTATAATTGCTGTCCAGTCCAATACAAACAAAGGTTGATAAAGTATTTCGACCATATTTGCCCTAGGGATACTATTGAGGAAGAAGTGAAGCTTCTCATCAGAATATGTAAATAAATACACACTAAAGCTCATTAATTGTTGGAGGGGTAGCAGCAATATGATTGAACTCACTACGCCTTTAGCACTCAATAAACGTATCTATATTATCCCATTATTCAATGGTGACTCAAATAGTCTTATGTTAAAACGAAGACTTCAATTAATGATCGGCAAAACTTTTCACTCTAACTCACTCTATCATTATCTAAAAGTCAAGGTCTACGCTTTACCAAAATCCTAGACAGTATGTAAATGAGTATGTTATATCCCACTGTGTCTATGTATACACATATACATAAGGACAAAGAATCGTGATCTACATGTAAGGGTGGTCGATCCTATACCTAAGTGGCTACCAAAGCAATTAAATTATAATTGTCTAATTAGACCACAAAATAAAGTCATAAGGTTTCTATCAATTCATCCTTCATAGTGTTGTATAAGAGTGTCCAGGGATGTATATTAATGTTGAATATTTAGCCATATGACGATACCAATCGCCTTTATGTGTTTAAAAACAACTCTCACCTTGAACGTAGACTGAACTTCTTATGTAGTGTAATATGATTCACAATATTTCTCTTATGTACCGATTAGATTTCAGACACTGAAGCTCACCAATGATAAAATAATCAACTTTTTTAAAATTTGATAACAAAGGGTAACTGCTATCTTGACATTGTGGTCGGGCTTGTGTATCGTGTTGACCCAACCGAGCTATATTGGCTGGAACCTATGTTCCTGCAGGTACTACCATGCCAGGCAGGTCGATTGGAGAACGGTAAGATTAAAAGCAGCAACTCAAGGTCTGAGGGTGAAGTCGTACTGCTGACTGTAGAGGAGTGTGACAACAGTAAGGTGTTTCCCTCGGACAACCAGCATCAACAGCGATGCTGCCTTCTCACAAGGAAGGAGGGGGTTAGAAAAGGTTGACCCTAAAAATGTCACACCTCACAGATTTCCGTCTCCGGCGGTTAGGCCTTTTGAAGAACGGAGCTAACACATTCGAAACCTCCCACGAAAAGGCCGTGCGCGACCGACCTCAAGCAGTTGTCCCTTGGGCTCTGCGGTCACGCTCCCAGATCGTTGAAACCAACACTAGTCCAACTTCCTTTTCAGGTTCCTCAAGAAATACCCTTCCACGGTGTGATGGTGGTCTAGCTTCAATTGACTCATGAATTCAACTATAAAAATACGTATAATCGTTTAAATCATTTAGATACAAATACATTGGGTTTTAAAGTCTGTATTATTTGTTTGTTTATTTATTTGAACACAAATATTGATACAAGAGGGCATCAAATACATATGCGCCACACAAAACAATGAGAATGGGAAAAGAAAAAAAAGAAGGTAAGGAGCGTAAAAGAAAAAAAGGAAGAACAATGACTACCAGATTAGTGTTAGGTAGTATAATAATAATGGGGGAGACGGAAAAGTACAACCAGAAAAAATCTTTCAGTTAAGGAAGATACAACCACTTTTTATGAAGGAAATAAGAGAAGGTTACAGCAGAATCACCACTGGCTTCTATTCTGAGCCATATCCGACAACGTCTCTAGCCACTGTGTTGCACCATCTCTCGGACCCTAGCCAGCGAGTCGTGAAAGACCAACGGAAGCCAGCCCTTTGCAGCTTTCTTTCATACCGCGACACCATGTCATGCATTGACCACCTCTGCGCTTTTTCCAACCACTCCCAGAGTCGGTAAATAATGCACGACGTGGAATTCTCAAGGACGACATTCGTAGAACATGTCCAAGCCACCGAAATCGATGTTTCAAGATGGATTATCGTCTCTATGCCCGAACACACGATGCCGAACTTCTGCATTACTAACACGGTGTTGCCACTGAATGGGTAGAACACTTTAAGTAGCAGTTCAGCTGACCTTCAGCTACAACTACCCACCGTGCCCAAACAGCCTGCATGGAATATTGAAGTAGGTTGGAGATGGAAAAACGTCAGGGGTGGCCGAACTAAAACGTGGCATCAGTTCTTGAAGTCACCAACTTCTAGTTCGAGCCATGCTGGTAGATACAAACTACTTGGTTGTGGTCCGCGTAATTATTGTAACTAACGGTTGGAGACTCTTGGTGACGTGGCTCAGAATTGATCACAATGGTGTAGATGTAAACATTCTTTGTCTGTTCTTAAACAGTGAGAATAAAATTGCTTTATACCTTTCTTCCTACGAACTAATTATTTCTTCCTGTACGATATCCTGATACACAATCTTTATTATATAAATTACCATCATTGAATTGATTACTTCTATAAATCCGGTCTTCATCTTGTAGTGCTAATGAGGTGTGGCAACTTGGACCGAAGCATAAATGTGCCTGGTCCTACATTGCAACTGACAGACTAATTGCAGCCACACAAACGATAGCTGATCGCGATGTGATCAATCTGAGTCCAGGCTTGAGATGCAGAGGGAGGACGCCAGGTGGCACATGGGCGATGACTGTGCCGAAAGTTAGTGCTAACCAGAAACAGGTTGTGGTCTGTGCACAGTTGCAGTAGGCGGTCCCTGTTATCTGTCCCCATCGGCCACCTAAACGATTCTCGTCCGTGTCTAGACTCCTGACCTGAGCATTCAAGTCTCCGGCTAGTACTACAATATCTGTCGAACGCACTTTCTGGAGAAGAAAAGTTAACTGGTGGTAGAATTCATCCTTGATTGCATCCGGGCTGCAATCTGTCGGGGCATAGGCGGAGATGACGAAAAGATGTCGTTTCTTACGCCGATTTCTTCTCACTTTGATGGAACTCTCTAGTCTATTAGAACATAACCGACTGTTAATGGGGATCCAATCGATTAGTGCTGCCTCAGCTCTTGCGCTTAGTGCGACACCAACGCCAGAAAGACCAGACGAAGATGCCAGAGGGTCCTCGGATAAACTCACGTAAAACAAGCTTTTTGAAGTGACAGATGTCGAGCGAATTTGTAGTACCTCACCAGAGTCTTGAATACGGGTCTCGGATATACAACAAACGTCGATATTAAGACTTTCCAAAAACATAACCAGCCTTATCTGTTGTCCGACCTGCATAAATGTGCGAACGTTGAAAGCAGCCAGTTTGGATGGTGCACGTGGTTTCAGAAAAACTGCTTCAGTATTCGTATTTAGTGGTAGCACACAATTTTCAACTAGTCAGTGACTCGAGAACGTTTAGATAAAACCGAGTTTCCACCATAGGCGAGCTGATGTCGAAAAATAAGGATACATAAAGTGGGAATAAAAGAGAGTGAATAAATGACATAGTAAATAATAATAATAAAAACATGAATTGTATGACTGTAAATCGAAGAGAGAATAGAATTTTCAGTAAATATAGTCATTTTTATTTGTGTGTGGGCTGTGATACTGCCCGCGTGATTAGACCGAAGTAAGTGGTTTTCTTAGGGGGTCACACCCCGAGCCTTTGACTCAAACGTCTGACCCACAAGGAAGTGGAGCATCATGATTATTATTATTATTATTATTATTATTATTACTGATTCTACTTTACTATCGCTTAATGAATTCATACAATAATTTGACTATACTATATAATTTAAATTGTAATTATAATACTATTTCTCTTTTATCTTATTTTACAATTTCGAATGACCTATAAACTGATTCAAATTATCATTATACACTATTCAATTGAATAAATTCTAGTTAATTTTATCAACTATACGGTAATGTTTAAAAGGCTTGTTAGCCTTAAATATGATTATCGTTTTAGAATATGTTCTATTACATTTTATACAATTATGTAAAATCCCTTATATATATATATATATATATATATATATATATATATATATATATATATATATATATATATATATATATATATATATATATATATATATATACATATATATATATAGCTGAAGAATTTTCTAGAGTGAATTGATGTTTATTTGTATTGGAAGGGGTTTTTTGTGTGGATTCGAACTCGGGACCTATCGGTCTTGCTTGCGAAAGCTTAATCTCTAGACCAGTGAGATGACCAGCATCCAACCGTGTTAATGTCTAACTTCAACTAATCCACGAAATTGAGCGTCACATTCACCATTGTCATCAGTGAGTTGCTATCTCACAATAGACTAGGTTGAGCTGCACTGGTCACTGCTTCTCACTAGAACTCTAGGAAATAACTTTTGAAGCCAATCACTAGTGAGCATAAGTTGATTAGTATCAGAAGGTGTTTTGTGGATATTATAGTAATTTTAATAGTCGAGATCATGAGCCAATTGAAGTTGAACAACCATGGATGATATTTATGCGAATATCGACTTCTATTGAAATACAGTATTCATCTAGTCGATTTCTGTATAGTTGTGTAAATATGTTCGCCATCCTACGGATTGATATTTTCAGCTAGTATTCAAATGTTGTCTGCTCCCCATCATAGTTAAACGTTCTTACCCTTATAAATAATCAGCTAGTGTTCTACACCTGACATTCAGATTACTCAACTGGTGGTGTCACCATACGTAAATAACGCTCCAAGCATATGTATAATCATTCACTTGGGATATAAACACTTATTTTACTTTTATTTGTAGTCTCATATGTACCGGGATTCTGGAATTACTAATTGTCGTGACCATTTCAGGTTGACTGTTTTCTAGAATTCAGTCAGGAATTCCACATTCTACTCTGGAACTCAGTGCTATGGTCACACATCTCAAACGAGATGAAGTTACTGAGAAATCTCAGATTATGAATACAATGGTCTTGGGTGCTGTTAGAGGTATGAGGGCGGTTATCACTTCCCGGTTGTCCACACCGTGGAAGGGTTCTTCTGGAGAAATCTCAGATACATGAAGAGTTAGGTGTTCTGGTTCCTCATACTTGTTAAGCGAGATGAAATGAATGGCCATACATTTGTGCTGTTTTCTGGCTTCACTTACACAGGATATATATCTATGTTAAGGAACTCTATAGTCATGACTCATGAGGTATATATTTATATATCCAATTCCTTCATCGAATACAAATCAGCTATGTTGTAATTGTATGATTTCTTAATTCATTCGTGTTTAGGATGTTTTAGGACATTCGGTTCAACCGTATATCTTAATCTTTCAGAAGAATGAATTATTGTTTACGAGTTTATGAATCATTTTAAATGCCTTTTAGATTATTACACCATGTTTTTTCACATCGAGTATTTCGGGATTGATTTCTTTCTTTACATTCTTTTACATAACAATAATGTAATGAAAATGTATAAATCACGTTTCAAAGCACAATATACGTATATAGGTCACACTTATATATGATAGAATATGTCTGAAAATCTATCTACTGATCAATTCATAACATTCCTTCAAAATTCTGATAGTATTAAAATGAAAATATTGTCTATAATGTTGACCTAAATTGTTAAGCATATAAAAATATTTGAAAGAAAAAAAAAGGTATATAACTTAATTATCTAAACAATATAAAGTGAATAAAAACTTCACCGTATTTCACAAGCAGGTGACTATCAGGAATCAGTAGCTAAAAGGGTAACGCGATGGCGTTTGAAGCGAACCTTAGTGGGTTCGAGTCCCGGAGTGAGCACTAACTTTAGGATGCAGATACATCCAGTTGACGAGTCTCAAATAAGACGAAACGTGCGTCAAACTGCATTCCACTGCTAGCCACTTTCCATCTCTACTTAGAATGCTTATGAATTAAAGCAATATGCACATATGCCAATAAGAGACTGATCAATTGCAGTGATAAACATCAATGGGAAGTAAATAATATCAAGCGAATGTATCTAAACAAATGCTTAAGTAGAGTGAAAAGTAGATATCATAATATTAAGGAGAATATTATCAAATATGTAGGTAAATCGGATTAAACACTTCTATTATGTAAGTAGTTGAACTATGTTTGCTATCTAATTAATTGTATTTCTCCTAAATGATAAACGTTTTTGGCATTATCTCCATCAACTGCTTAACTGTCACATTCAAGAAATCTTCAATTTAGTACAATGCACTACGATTAAAACGTTAATTGTAGGTTAGTTTAAGTCATTTATAGGTTTGCAAACTGCTTCATTGTTTCGCGAAGTTCTAAAACTGTTATGAAAAGGATTTTCATCTCGATATTTCCCAATCACTTACGATACACTGTCGCAGTGTGTTCTATTCAAAATTGCTTCAAACGAGTAAATCAATTGACTAAAGACATATTACTCGGATACTATTAATTTGGTCACATCATGCGGCAATTATTCTTGTGAATCAGCTACGTATGATGCATGTCAGTTCTATCTGCTTTCCTTATTTTAGATCGTCTGTCATATCTATTCCTTTGGAGAAAACCATTTGACTGATTGAGTTTACGGATCTACTCTCCTAGCTGAAGATTTACTCATCTTTTTTTTCAATATTTCAACCATAGATTCACTTGGTTTTGTTTTACTTAAATATTCATGTTTAGAACTGTAATTGATCAGTCTCTTATTGGCATAAATGCACCCTATGCGGATCGCCTCGATATAGCCTTAATTCACAGGCTTTTTAAGCAGAGATGGATAGTGGCTAGCAGTGGAATGCAGTTTGACGCGCGTTTCGTCTTATTTGAGACACGTCAACTGAATGTACTTGTATCCCAAAGTTGATGTTCACTCCGGGACTCGAACTCGCTAACGTTCGCTTCAAACGCCATCGCGCTACCCTTTTAGCTACTGAGTCCTGATAGTCACCTGCTTGTGCGAAGGGTGAAGTTAAATTCACTTGGTGTTGTTTTAATTGTATCTTCCCATTGTTATTTAAAGCTGTAATTGATTAGTCTCATGTTGGCATATGTGCATCCTGTGTAGGTTGCCTCGATAAAGCCTTAAGTCACAAGCTTTTTAGGCAATGATGGATAATGACTAGCAGTGGAATTCAGACCATGCATTTTGTCCAATTTGGGGCTTGTCAGCTGGATGTACCTGCATCCCAAACTTGATGTTCACTCTGGTACCCGAACCCAGTACCGTTCGCTTCAATCATATTTTGAGTGATAAGTGAAGAAGAATTACTTATTTGTATATCGGACATTCTAGTATGAAGTTATTTATTCGTAAACTACTTCATCTCTTATCTAAACTTGATAAACATAAATTATTTCCAATTCTCATGCATAAAATATTTCTCAAAAATAAATAGATTGAAACTTTCTTTGTAATAATATATTACATCAACCATAATATTTGATTATACTTCTTCATGTTTATCTTCAATCCCTTTCTATTTTTCATGTGTATTTCTACTCTTTTATTCTCAATTCGATTTAGGATATCAAACAATGTCTGACTAGGATTCGTTGTTGTTTAGTACCAACATTTGGCCATCTCATTGATTCACTCATAACTATACGAATGCATATAGATAAAGCACAACGTCATATACATAGTTTATCTACTCCTACTGAAGAATTTTTCTCAAATTGTAAACTTATTATTATAGATAGTTTAACAATACCATTTTTATCGTGTATGTCCACTTTACCACAATTGGGTAAGTTATTTCTTTGTAGACGTATATGTATGGTAGTATTGTCATTTGGTGAATTTAAGAGATAAATTGTAATATTATTTCCAAATTATGTATTAATTAGAATGATTTTCATTCCTATCTAATCTAATAGTCGGTTAATCGAAATAGTATGATAGGTCTCATTTATTTTCCTCAGTGTTGTTAGTTACTCTAAAAGCCATATAATACTGGATTAATGTAGTATAATTGTTTACCCTTTACTTGTCTTAGACTATTGATTCTATCAGTATAGGTTTATGGAGACTATTAAATTATTGATTGAGATCTTGAACCGATTGATGTTAGACCACCATTGAAAACCTGGAAGCACTGGATGGCCGTTTCGTCCCATTGTGGGACCCTTCAGCAGTGCGCAGCCACTTTCCCGCTTGCGAGATTCAAACGCAGGTCCTTCAGTATGGTGCGCGAACTCTTAACCTATTAGACAACTGAGCCGGTATCCAACGGTGTTAATATCTAGTCTCAACCTGTTCACGAAATTGCGCGATCTTCTATTGTACTAAAGTATATACCTGTCTCTACCCGACACGGATTGGCTCCACTGGCCATTGCTTCTCACTAGAACTCTGAGAAGTCCCTGGGTTCGAATCCCGCGAGCGGGATTGTGTATGCACATTGTTGAAGACTCCCACAATAGGACAAGTCGGCCGTTCAGTGCTTCCAGGTGTTCTATGGTGGTCTAACATCAATCGGTTCAAGATCTCAATCAATATCGATTCTATGTTGTATTTCGTTGTATATGTTATATAATTCCTTAAAGCATTAGCGTTTATTCCCAATCAACTTGGACCTCAAAAACTGTAACTTTGTTTTCATTGCTTCAATTCTCCATCTTCATGTCGTAGCAAGTTTTCTCGTGAGTGAAAAGTATCTTCTAGTTTATACTATAGTCTGACATTTTAAAGTAATATGAGTAACTAGTTATTCATGTTCAATATTTCTTCATTTTACATCAAGCTTTGGTAAAGCCGTTAATTTATAGTTAGACGGTTAGTATAAGTTTATGAAGATTGTTGAATTTCATCAAACTTAAGAATCGACCGACGTAAGACAATCATTGAAAACGTGGAAGCACAGGAAGAGCGTTTTGTTCTAGTACGGGATTTCTCAGAAGTGAACATACACAATAGGAATCGGACCGACGACCTTTAGTTTTGCGCGCGACTGCTTAGTCTCTTGACAACTGAGCTGTGATCGGATGGTCTACAAGTTTAATTTCAATCAGTCCACGATAGTGCAAAATCGTTTTTAAAGTCTTTTTGGGGAGGTACTGTTACCACACCCAACACGGTTTCTGCTGAAGAGTCCCTTAATAGGATGAAGCTTCCGTTCAATGCTTCAAGCTTTTCAATTTTTGTGTAGCTGTGATCGGTTCGTGGCATCAATGAATTACTTAAATCATCATGCTGTAATATGGGTTACACAATTTATGTTCCGGATATCTAAACTATTTTACAAATCACTAATGGACGTGTGATAAGTCTTCTAATTGAACGCTAAATTCGGTTCCTTAGCTCTCCTAGTAACCCCCAGGCTATGTCTACATAGCAACGTAAACACGAGAGAAAAGGCACGAAACATGAAAAAATTGGTTTACTCCAAAGTTCCTTTATGTACAGGAAATCTAGTGTTTTTGTAGTATTTTAGATGGCTTCGTGTTTCTGAAAAATTCTGGAACGCTACGCAGTATAGGTAATTAATCAATCAGGAACTCGACATGTAACTTTTCACTTTCTAGATGTTTCTGGCAAAACTTCTAGCGAATGCTGATTGGATAAAATGTTTCTCAGCGTTTTTCAGGGCCTGTTTTGACTTTTTTTCGCGGAATTTTCTGGTTCTCCCAGACACATCCAATTGCTATATTGTTTACTTCACTTACTGTTTAACATAACTGATTCGTCCACATTTAATATGACAGATGCATTCCAATCAAGGACCGGATTCAGACAAGGCTGTCTACTCTCCCCCTTCTTATTTCTTTTGGTGGTCGACTGGATTATGAAGACATCGACATCTGAGGGAAAACACGGCATACAATGGACAGCTAAAAACCAATTAGACGATTTGGACTTCGCAGATGACCTATCCCTCCTATCCAATATACACGAACAAATGCAGATAAAGACAGCCAGTGTAGCAGCAGTCTCTGCATCGGTAAACCACAACATATACAAGGGACAAACCAAGGTCCTCAAATACAACATGGAGAACACCAACTTAATCACACTTGTTGGCAAAAGTCTGGGAGATATGGAATCCTTCACATACCTGGGAAGCATCGTCGATGAACAAGGAGGACCAGATGCAGACGTAAGGGCGAGAATCGGCAAAGCGAAAGCCGCATTCCTACAATTGAAGAACAACTGTTTGCAAGCCAACATGAAAGTCAAGATCTTGAACACGAACGTAAAGACGGTCCTGCTGTACAGACCTGAAACTTGAAGAACTACTACAACCATCATCAAGAAGGTGCAAGTATTTATAAGCGATCGTCTACGTAAGATACTTAAATCTTCGTTGGCTCAACAACATCAGCAGTAGCCTGCTGTGGAAGAGAACAAATCAGCTTCCCGCTGAAGAGAAAATTATTAAAAGACGATGGAAGTAGATAAGACATACATTACGGAAATCATCAAACTACATCACGAGGTAAGCTCTAATACGGAATCCTGAAGGGAAGCAGAAAAGAGGAAGGCCAAATAACACATTACGTCGGGAAATAGCAGATATGGAAAGGATGAATGACAACTGGAAATGATTGCTCAGGATAGGATTGAATGGAAAGTGCTGGTGGGTCGCCTATGCTTCTCCACGAGGAGTAACGCGTAAAATATAAAACTGTTCAAGTTTTCAAAAAACCTAATCATAGTATAATTCACATGTGTATGGAACGCTTTATCTTATGGTATCCCAACTAAATTTAAACTTGTTTTCATCAGTCACAAATTAAGCGTAATTTTTTCATATTTATCAGTTACTGACTTCAGGAAAAACTCCCGAAGTTCTAGTGAGAAGCCGTTACCAGTGGAGTTCAACCAGGTCTGTTGTGAGATAGGAAATCACTGAAGACAATGGTGTACGGTGGCGCAACTTTGTGGATTGGTTGAAGTTGGAGATTAACACCGTTGGATGCCGGCTCAGTGGTCTAGTGGTTAAGTGCTCGCGCGCGAAGCCAGTAGGTCCTGGGTTCGAGCCCCGCCGGATGCGGGGTCGTAGGTGCGCACTGCTGAGGAGTCCCATACTAGGATGAAACGGCCGTCCAGTGCTTCCAGGTTTACCATAGTGCTCTAGCTTCAATTGACTCATGATTTCAATCTGTGAAAGATACTTATATACCGAGCGATATCCACTGACTTTTCACAAAAAAGATATTTCAATACTTACCTATTTTCAACCTTGTTTTGAAACTAAATATCTATAAACCAGTGACTAACTCTTGATTCATTCTAAAAGACACATTTTGTTACAACTTGTGGCCTTATGCTCTATTGATATATAACCTAATGATACCTCCAATTACAAAACAGTGATTTATCGACTGAACCAATGATTCACAAAAATAAGTATGAGCAGCCTAGAGTCCTTATCGGTTCTGCTTCCTGTTTAGCCCCACCTGTTTAGTTCAGAACATAAATCTCAATCTCCGCGATGTGAATCATTAATTTCAAATATACTTGGTTTATATACAAACCAAACAGACCACATCATACTATAAAATAGAAAATAACATTTATATACAAGATCTAGTCAAAAGTGTCTGTAAGTGTGGAAGACTGTAATGAATAGAATGGGATTAACTCAAGAACAGTAAACCGTATAATGATAGTCTATGGGTCAAAATAAAGCTTATAATTAGGGGAACACGAATATGAATAGTTCAGTTCCTTAACAATCATACAATAAGAAATATATGTATAATATTAGTCCATACATACATCCCAACAGTTGTTACCATTCATTATCTTCATCGGGTTATAGCACATTCTAAAATAAGATTTAATGTGATAGAGAAAGGGTATCCGATTTATTTAATTGATTGTTTTTCAATTATCATTATTCTTAACATTATAATGTACTTTAAATTAATTTGTTTATATTATTATTAAAGGTATATCACAACTTGCTCTTATTATATCTGAACTACAACGTTTATCTACATTATATTATTGTACTATATTAATTACTAATCATGCACGATCTCAATTTATTAATTTTTTAAATAAACAACAATTTAATCGAAATTCATTACCATCAACTTCAATTGGTTGCCTTGGTATCAATTGGTCATTAATACCGAATCATCGTATTTTATTTGAATGTTTAACACAATGGACAAACTCTCTATCTTATAAAATTAAAGTTAAATTAGTAAATAATAATTTAAATAAAATAAATAAACAAACAAATCATTATAATAAACATCAATGTAATGCTGAAACAGTTTGGGAATTTACTATGTAATGATGAATACTCTAACCTATATGAGAAGATAATATAAACAAGTAATGTTTATTTGTTATAACCATAAACTTGATTGTTTGTTTATTTTGTTTATTGACAGTTTTGACTTTTGCTCTTTCATATTTTATTAAAAACTTCAACTTTTGTACTAATACTAATGAAAGATTTAATATTATTGTAATGTGAGCTACTTATATTGATATAAGTAGTATAAAACAATAGTCAGAAATAGAATATATATTTCATTACAAAGCTGTACAATCGCAAATATATATATACTTATTTTTACAGGATGATAATAAACGTCTGTTAGATATGGTGACAGTGAGGTTAAATAAACAAAGATGTCAAAGAATGTTCTTTTAGAAACAAGGAGAGTTTAATAGTCGTTTGATTGTTAATAGCTTAAATATTCATCAAAAGATTGATTGGGAAATTATCATTGTGAAAGGATGGCTCAGCATGATAAGATAAAATGTGTAACATCACATTGAATTAAAAAAGACGGAGGTACTGTTGAACAAAAAACACGTTGAGCAAAAAGAATATAATTTTGACTTTACTGCCCGTCATATCACCTCCCCTTCTTTTTTAATATAATACGTGAGAATATATTTTCCGTGGAGAGTCTGTATGAAGGTTCTTTTTCGTACTCTCTGAGATCTCCGATCGGTTAGGTGATCGTGTTTCAGCTTCTTTTGAAAAATAATCTGTTCAACCTTCTGATTTTTATGCTTTGCTCCTTTGTTCAATGCATATATAATTCTCCCTCTCACACGAAACAGTGTTGAATGTTCATGTACTCACGTTACAAACAATGTGACTTTATTGACCTGAGCTATTTTATTACTGACGAGCACCATTATATATGTGAATTGTGGTGTGTGGGTATACATAGAGATTGAAGGATCCTTTTGTGACCCCTTAACATTCTGGTTTCGCAATTGCTTTTCAAACACTTGTTATGCCAATTGATTTATCATAGCATTGAAGATGGATTCTATGTAACATACATGAGGTGTAAGAGCACACAACATCTGCTACAACGACATCTGAAATGTGATCAGAGTGTAACTTCATTGGAAACTAATGAATCATTAGGATAGTTAACATCTGATATAACAGCATTAAAAATTTGATCAGAAATCGATTCATTTGGAATATTGGTCTAACAATGGTTTTAAATTTCATAAGAGGTGACTGGATAATTAAAATGATAAGAATCGAATAAAAGAACATTTGAACATTGTTCAGAGTCAACAGTACTAAAGAATACGTTAACCTTTTCTTCAATCAAAAAACTATTCCTTATTACATCAGGAACTGTATCAGTTACTTCGTTAAATATGTCTATAATTTTTAAGTGCGATTTCGAACTTGATTGTTTGAGTACGTGTTCCTTCAATGCACTGATGATCATCAAATGAGATTAAATGAACATATCTTCATTGAACTGAAAGATTGATTCTACTTCTGCGACTGAAATTGTCATGTTCCTACGCCAGTAATCGTTTCGTTTGTTGTAATAGCGACTTGATAAATAAAAACAGTAGTATATTTATAACTGAGCAAACAGGATTCGGGGTACATTAAACTGACAACTGAGTTATAACTGAAACTTGTAAATTGACTCTGTCAGCGATTGTTATGGTTTTCTTTTTTCCAATATTTCCTTCGCCAATGATATAACTGGTGGTTGACTGTTATGACTGCGACCCTTATAGTGTTTCTCAATGATTCAAGAAATCGAAACGATAACAGCTGCACAGTAATAAATATAATGTTTTCAGCATCCGTGACAACATTTGGAAGCACACATCAAATGCTAGATTAATTATTAGCGCTCTTAATTTTGAAAGACGATGAGTAATTGACTAAAGAATCACCATCACCGTAATTCTGTTACTCAATTCTTAATGGAAAGGAAATATCAAAAGTTACCATGTGCATGCCTTAAACATGATTGAACAAAACATAAACTACTGAGTATTATTAAGTAGTTGAAATGATACACAACATAAACAGAACAAAAGAGAAATGAAATCTGAATCTTTAAACTAAAGTTGGTAGTACCATCACAACTTTTCCTTACTCTGAACCCAGACATTATTCAACCAAAACCACCTAGACACTGAAATGGTAGGTTATGCATTTCATGCAATCCTATCAACGAAGTACTTACGTGATTCTTAAATTTTCAAGAGTATTTAGTCGTTCTCTTTATCAAACTACAATAAATCTTACTAGATACAGGTGTCTAGTACAGTCTACTTATTTTCATTGTTCAAAATGATACATTGCCTGATTCCTCTGATATTAAGATCAGTGTAGTCCTCCTGTACCAACCTGTTTCTACTAAAGGCTGACAATAGAGGTCACAATTTTTTGTCATAAGCAAATGCAAATGTTCCGGCTTATACTCTCTTCACTATGATGACTTATCTCTTTTGCTTGAATTATATCACGCTTTCTATTTTTCAAATTTTTACATCAAATACTTGACAGTTTCTGGTTACAGAATGTTATTTAGGTCCAGTGAAGCTAATCGTGTCTGTTTATTACCCTTGGTCATAACTCCCCTTGTCCTATGTAAAGATCATACGAATATGTTTATAATTTGATAGATCTTATATATTTATTTTTGTGGTTGATGTCTAGTCCAGTTCTGATGACATTCTATCAATCAAGTTGTAATGTGATCACCACTTTAACTTACTCAACATCACATTCACTATGTTTGCATGATAAGTATTTGATTATGAAAAGACTCGTATGTATACTTCTATCCAAAACTTCGCATTTCGATGGTGGTTCGCAAAAATAACACTCCAGAATAGTGTGAAAACTGTTATTATTGTGGTGGATCAATATAAAACCCTACTTAATATAAGTTTAGTGTCTATTGACATTCATTAGCAATCTGAATTTTTTGATTTAAGGAAACTAGTGCTTCCTTTACGATAATGAATGTTAGGAGTTCGATTAGTGTGAATACGAACATGGACACGATACTGATCTGTAAACTAAGAAACTTGATATTTCCACTTACATATGATCATTGGTCAAGTAGTTTCATTCTTGATTGATCTATGAAAACATGAATCAGTCAGCCAGCAACAACGTAGAACTTCGTGCGTACGTACATCAGTTCGAGTCGCCATACCACATTAGCACAGAGATTCGAATCCCATAGTGGTAGAGGTAGTAAAAGTATAAGCAGTAATCGGAAAGATTAGGGTTTGAAGATGTTATTCAAGGAGTATAATCCAGTGAAATAAATTTGGAAGGAAAATAAAGGACATGAAGAATTCAGAAGAGTGAAATTCGGGAGAACACAAAGAGTGGATGCACCTGCGCAATTGAAAACGACTTTGAACCATGTCATTCAACGTCTCTAATCATCGGCTGCTATCGTTTCGCGGATCCCAACTAAATAGTCTGCATATCCCGACATGGCTCAGTCCACTTGGCAGTGACTTGATGAATTTGTGCCATGTCTTGGTGTTGCCGCCCCTAGCTTTCTTCCATCCTACTCCTACACCATAAAGGCTCTCTCGAAAAAAAGTGCACCGTATTGCTGTATTTCTGGGCAGAGAATATTTGGTCTTCACTAGGAATCAAATGCATTTCAATTTCTCGTTTAACGCTTGTTTTCAATTCACTAGGGTAGAAATCGAACTAATCGTTTTTCCAATGATTGAAAGTAGAATTATTATGTTGAATAGCTAATTAATAATTCTTTGATAAACGAAGGGAACTCTTTTCAATCAATTTATTATCAAGCTGTACAGTTATATATATACTAATTCCGTGAGGAAATGTGAGCACAAACATGGAATGGCCAGCTGACCAACTTCTACAGCTGGATTCCTTTAAGCAGAAAGAGGAACCCCATTCACTCTTTATGTCATCGGATATGTAGTACGGGATGCATTGACGAAGAACTCTCATTCCTCAGGAAAACTTTGACGAAAAATGGCTATCCAGACCTCTTCATAGATAAAAAGAAAATGAGAAGTGGTTGTCCCAAAGAAAAACCTCTATATAAGTTTGGAATTTAAAGGTGATCGAACACCTGATGTAATTAAAAATCGTTTAACGACAGCAATTAAAAGAACATTCAGTGCGGCAAAACTGCGAATAACGTTCAGTTGCAGAAAATTATTTTCTGTATCCATAAAAGGTAAACTTCCACGTCTGGTCGACTCCATGTGAATCTACCAGTTCACCTACTCTTGTGGAACAAGAGCCAGAGCTCACTTTCAACTCCAATACAGGAACCCGTCCCCGTTTGGTTCTACAAGGGTGATAGGAAGACAGTTAGGAGTTCTATACTCGAACATACAAGAACATTTCAGTCATCTTACTATATTCACGTTATAATTTGTTGCTAACTTACTGAGTCTGTTGTTACTATTCCTATTACGTAATCTAGTATCACAATTTTTTCGATTACGTCATCTTAGTTATTCCTCACGGAACTAGTACTTTAACAAAACGATTTTCATATATAAATATGATTGTACAGCTTGATAATAAATTGGTTGAAAAGAGATTCCTTCGTTGAACGTCGTGTTTTTGAAATTTCAAATTGTTCATTAATATAGTGTTTAATTGTTAAGGGAAACAACCTAAACAAATACAAACGACTTCATACCTTTACTCTAATTATGACTAATCATTCGTTATGTTTGTAGACAGATGGAATTATTGATTTGCATTATGGATTATTGGGTTGTCATAGTTACATGAGTTGATGTATAGTTAACTAAGTAAGTTAGTACCTAATAGAGAATAAATTCACGTAAATATTAACACACCCAACACAGAAATTAATCTAGAAAGTTTACAGATTTACTTTAACCTTACAAATAACCTTATGAATAATAAACTAGAGGCAAATTAATAGTATTGTATTTAATAGTTGAATTCATGAGTCGATTAAGGCTAGACTAGCATTGAAAAACCTAGAAGCATTGGATGGCTGTTTCTTCCGAGTACGAGACTCCTCAGTGGTGAGCATCCACGATCCTGCACGTGGAACTCGTATCCAAGGCTTTCGGTTTCGCGCGTATTGCTGAGGGACACCACACTAGGACGGCACGGTCATTCAATGCTTCCAGGTTTTCCATGGTGATCTAACATCAATCGATTTATGATCTCAATCAAAAACGTAATAATCTCCATAGCCCTATACTGAGTAAGCCCAGGTAGAATGTAAAAATACTAGTTATACTGTTTTATAAAACAACAGGATGAACTATCTTAATCAAATACAAAATGTGAGAGTAAAAGTGAATAGAGTCTATGTAAACCAAGGGAAATCATATGGTGATTTCATCGTATGACATTGAATCACATAGAATGAAGGTAGAATAAAAAACCCAACTTGCAATGAAATGACTTTCAAAAGTAATTTAGGAGGTCTGATCACCAGTTTGTTTATAAATCAATCTATAACACTACTGTTAACATCATATGTATTTATTATTTATTTAGACACATAAACATTGATACAAGGAGGCACCAAATAGATATGTACCATACATACCATTCGATTTGTATGGGTGCTGGGATACTGCCCGGGTGCTCAAACTGAAGTAGGTAGTTTTCTTAGGGGGCCATACTAGGAGCCTTCAACCTAAAGGTCTAATCCACAAGGCAGTGGAGCAACGCAAGGAAACGCAGTCTCATGGTAGCCGGTGACCAACAATTGGTTCATACGCCATTTGTTTCCTCAGGATACTGGAGCCCATGTGTTATGACTGTGGACTGCAGATTAGAGGGCAACGAATTATCGATCGGACCAGAGACGAGTAAACACGTAAGAACGGCCTAGAGTTCTGATTGGCCCCGCTTCCCTGTCTAGCCCAGCCAGTTGAGTCCAGAACGTAAGCCTCAGCCGCTGATGTATGAATCGTTATATTTCAAGCATACTCAGTTTATATACTAATCAAGCAGACCACATCGTACCATAAAATAGAAAATAACATTTCACACGTGAAATAAGTATTGAGCGGTAGGAAAATGATACGTGAAATAAATAGTTACCAATAGGAGAATGATACCATCTCAAGTCTAAGAATAGCGTTAGACTTAACAGAATAATTTTTGGGATATTTTGCTGAATATCCCAACACCATGTGCGCGATTTGTTTGGAATGAGGGTTTTCTAACTCCTGTAGGTGGATCCCCCATATCCGCCAACCCGGTTAATGCGCGAGACATTCGCTTTTCATACTCTCAATTTCGTAAATAACACCCATACCACGAGAAGGCAGTGGTTGTATGCACGTGAACACTTGAGAGCATTTGGAGAGGAAGAGCTGTCTGTCCCCACTCTCGGTCGTACCTGGGCATTTGGGGGCAACATCATATGTAAATAGTGCCTGTACAACATTTTACGAAGATGAATACAATTCCTTGTGAAACAACTAGCCTTTTAAATACTATATATTTACTTCATAAAATCAGATACTGTATATGCATAGTTGATCTTTTTATTCTAACTGTTTTTGTCCACGCAAAACGTAAGACTTTTACTTAGAAACAATCTTTACAGTATTAAGAATAAAGAGAATATGCAGTACACTACTTGTTCAAAATATATTTAAGTGAAATAGCAGTGGATATACTGAGATCATTGAAGTATGTAAGTATTGGGTCAGACAATAATTTATGGACAACCTTTGAGCGACGTTAAAGTGACCTTGAAAGTGTCCACCTAATAACTAGGACCAAATGAGTATTATAATTCAGTGTGAGGAATGATAATTATGATTTACAGTTGATGGTTAAGGATTAGGAACTAGATTTCCGATTTTCATCACGAACTGACATCAGCTATAATGCCAAACTTCTATTTAGCCAAATGAATGAATTTCGCGCCAAAATCCGAGACCTTTTATCCCTAAATCTGATTGATTCGTACATAAATTATAGTTTCTCGATAAAAAAAACCCTACTGAAGTCATGATTTAATGAATTACCTCAATCAAAATGTAAAAGAATTTCTAGATTTAATTTCACTTCTATCTTCCCATTGTTAGTGAAGATTGCAATTGATCAGTCGCTTATTGGCATATGTGCATACTGTGTGGATTATCCCGATATAGCCTTACGTCGCAAGTTTTTTAAACAAAGATAGATAGTGGTTAGCAGTGGAATCCAGTTTGACGCTCGTTTTGTTTTATTTGAGACTCATCACCTGGATATACCTGCATCTCAGAGTTGATTTTCACTTTGGGGATCGAACGCTGTACCGTTCGCAAGTGGCTATCAGAACTCATTAGCTAAGTGGATAACGCGATAGCGTCTGAAAAGAACGGCACTGAATTCGAGTCCCAGAGTGAACATCAACTCTGAGATGCAGGTACATACGGCTGACGAGTCTCAAACAGGACGAAACGCGCATCGGACTGATTCCACTACTAGTCACTATCCATCTTTACATATAATGTATAGATTTCATCAAAGTTGATAACAGAAATAACATGTAAGTATAATGATGTATGTACAAGAAAATGAATCACCACGGTTACAGTAATATAAGAAAAAATAGATAAAAAGAATGAAAACCCCTTTTGTGTAAATTCTTTCATCTGTAATGTTTTGATAAATAAGGTTCACCTTGATAATGTTTTAGATTGAATGAATCAATTACTGTAGATTACAAAATATTTAAATGAAATTCACAAAAAGATCAAATGTTGAATGAGATTAGTTTAGCCAGTGGATTTTTCTCTTGGTTTATTAACTGTATCTAGATGAGTTTTGTAATCCAATTGAACTTCGTGCTAATTCTGCCTGGAATAATGTAAAGAATAGTTTGAGAGAAAGGTTACGACGTGTTACAACCATAGATACTATAAATACTTCTGTATTGACAAACCTGTATATATATGCGCATTGCTGAAGAATCTCATAATGGGACGAAACGGCTGTTCAGTGCCTCCAGGTTTCCCATGATAGTCTAGCCTATATTAACTCATGAATTCGACCATTAAAATATATATGTATATATAGGTCATATTAATTAAAGCTCCTTATAGCTAAGTCAATATCATCATGTAAATGGTACAAAAATAATATGACCCAAATAGTTCCATACAGCGAGACTATAATTTATGAACGAACCAATCAGATTTAAGGATAACAAGTCTTGAATTTTGACGTGAAATTCATTCATCCATTCAGTTAAATAACGTTTTGGTATTTTAGCTGATATCAATTCGTAATGAAAATTATAAATCTAATGACCAACCTTAACCATCGGTTGTAAATCATAATCCTTATTTTTCACTTTGCTTTATAACCCTTATTGAGCTCCAGTAATAGATGGACATTCTCAAGGTTACTCTAGCGTCGGTAAAAGCTCGTCCATAAATTATAGTCTCACAATCCGCACAGGATGTACATATGTCAACATAAAACTGATCAACGGCAGTCCCAAACAACAGTGGGAAGATACAAGTAAGACAACACCAAGTGAATTTAAACTTCACCCCATTGAACAAGCAGGTGGCTATCAGGATTTAGTAGCTAAGTGGATAACGCGATGGCGTTTGAAGCGAACATCAACTTTGAGATGCAGGTACATCCAACTAGCGAGTCTCAAATAGGACGAAACACGTATCAAACTGGATTCCACGGCTAGCCTCTATCCATGTTTGCTGAATATAAATTAGTGTTATAGAGAATGTAGACAAGGTTAAAGTAAACGAATTACAACAATATAAACTTATGAAATTCGCACAAACTTATCGAGTGTTTCGTCCAGCAAAGTTATCTGAACTTCTTCAGGATAATAATCAAAATTATCATTAAACGGAATAATTCAGAAGAATTATTTGAACATATAATCAGAGTTTCGTAGAGCATTAAGCTGACAAAGAAATTAGAGTCCAGTGATCATAAACTAGCGTTTCTTGATCGTTTGTTTGAACGAGGACATGATGATAATAAGTTGAAAGTAAACGTATTCAGATAATCAACACATTCTGAGAGATACTTAGATTATGGTTCAGCTCATGCGTTTTGTATGAAACTCACAGTTGTAATAAATTTAATTAACAGAAGAAATAATCTCGTTACAGATAAAGAAGACCAACAGGTTGAATTGAATAGAGTTTTGTCTATGCTTAGGGATAACAATTACCCCAAAGAGTTTTTTAAAGAAGATTGTTAGAAATGAAAAACTAGAATGTATACCGAAAGATTGGAAGTCCACCGTGGTCATCCCATACCGTAATGAAACATCGGATGAAATCAAAAGGATTCTAAACAAACATGTTATAAGAGTGTATTTTCAGGAGTGTGACACAATAAGATTTGCATTAGGAAAGGTTCACAAAGGAAGAACAACAGAATGTTGTCTATGAGATCAACTGTCATCGATTGTAATGCAGCTTATGTGGGAGAAACATCCGGACAATTGAATGTAAGATTGAAGGAATACAAACTGTTTGAAAAATGTTTCCAAATCCTCGGTTGACTTAAAGAAACTTGAGTCGGCGATAGCGTTACATGCATTGGAAACAGAACACAAGATCAATTTCGAAAGGACCAAAATACTTCAGAAATGTTTTAACACTCATGAGGGAAGATTGATAGCAGACTCACTGTAAATATGGGCGAACAAGAACATCCTGGACCGAAAGGATAATATTTAAGTAGCAACTATTTGGCAAATATTTGTTAATAAGTAACTAGATCCCTTCTCTATCCAATCTGTTCATTTCACATACATCGTTATTCTGACTGAAATTAATGTGGGTTGTTATAGCAATACACAATTATGTATTTGATGATTCTCATTTTACATGCACATCATTGATTCAAAAACAATTTTTCAACCTTCAACTTGTACTTTTATTTTTTCTTCATATAACAACAAATGTAACTTTCACAGATTGAACTCATGAGTCAGTTGAAGCTAGACCACCATTGAAAACCTGGAAGCACTGGACGGCCGTTTCATCCTAGTATGGGACTCCTCAGCAGTGCGCATCCGCGATCCCGCACCACGCGGGGCTCGAACCCAGGACCTACTGGCTTCGCGCGCGAGCACTTAACCACTGGACCACTGAGCCGGCATCCAACGGTGTTAAACTTCAGGAAAAACTCCCGAAGTTCTAGTGAGAAGCCGTTACCAGTGGAGTTCAACCAGGTCTGTTGTGCGATAGGAACTCACTGAAGACAATGGTGTACGGTGGCGCAACTTCGTGGATTGGTTGAAGTTGGAGATTAACACCGTTGGATGCCGGCTCAGTGGTCCAGTGGTTTAGTGCTCGCGCGCGAAGCCAGTAGGTCCTGGGTTCGAGCCGCGCGTGGTGCGGGATCGTGGATGCGCACTGCTGAGGAGTCCCATACTAGGATGAAACGGCCGTCCAGTGCTTCCAGGTTTTCAGTGGTGGTCTAGCTTCAACTGACTCATGAGTTCAATCTGTGAAACAAATGTAACACCGATTATCAACTATTAATAACTCAATCTTACACACACACACACATAAATCATTTAGTCATTGTGAACTTTTCACATGTAACCAACTCATTTACTAAAGTCAACATCCAAATATGATTGGATTAGCACAGCATAGATTTGATTGTTGAACGCTATATATATATTTCTTTGATGATCTTGATTTCGATTGTTACCCTGAAGAAGTCCAGACAAGTTTGATGGATGAAATGTTGGAATTATTGTAAATTTCAATCACTGAAATTACTTCAAATATAATGACCAGGGACCAGTTTTTGTCAAGCTATTCGTATAAATAATGATAATAATAGTAATAATAATGTCTAAAATAAATTAACTTGTTATTGTTTGTTTGAATATTCCCATTGTTTACTTGAATATTCCCATTCATGTTTAGAACTGCAATTGATCAGTCTCGTGTTGGCATATATGCATACTGTGCATATTACCTTAGTTCACAAACATCATAAGCAAAAAGGACAGTGGCTAGTAGTGGAATCCAGTTTGACGAGTGTTTCGTCCTATTTAGGACTCGTCAGCTGTATATACCTGCATCTCAGAGTTGATGTTCACTCTGGGACTGATCAATTTCAGTCCTAAATAATAGAGGGAAGATACAAGTAAAACAACACCAAGTGAATTTAAAACTTCAACCCATTGCACAAGCAGGTGTCTTTCAGAACTCAGTAGCTAAATGGATAACGTGATGGCTTTTGAAGCGAACGGTATTGAGTTTGAGTCCTAGAGTGGACATGAACTCTAAGATGCAGGTACACTATCCATCTATGAATATCTAAGATAGATTCAAGTTATTGAATTTCAATTACACTAAGTCTTGAAACGTCAGAATTATATATTTCTAATCATTGGGATATCACAAAAATATATATAAGAGGAAAGGTTTCCTATACACTTCTGAAATTGTTTAAGGTGTTATGGATAATTAAACGTATTGCTTATGTACCAGAAGTTGGGTTTGTTTTTTGGTGAGACCGTAATTTATGGACGACCTGTAAGCGACTCTAGACTGACCTTGAGAGTGTTCACCTAATAACGAGGACCAAATGAAGGCTATAAACTTGTGTGAGGACTTTGAATTATTTACAGTTTATGGTTAAGGTTAGGAATTAGATTTAGAGTTCTCATTACGAAGTGACATCGGCTATAATGCCAAAACTCTATTTAATCAACTAGATGAATGGATTTTGCGCCAAAATCCGAGACCTGTTATCTTATACCTAATTGATTCATCGATAAAGATTCAGATAGCTATTACTTAGAAGATTCAAAGTTCAAAACAAAATTAACAGGATTACCTGATGTTGTCTATAAGCTATTCGTTCTTTGGCAAGGTAACTCAACGATAACTGTTCAACATAATCAGTTATTTTGTGCCTAGCTATGCATATGAAGTAGATCATGAATATAAGTGGTATAATTGTGAGGCCTAATAGTAATGGACCAATAGTTTGACCACGGTTAATTGTGTAAAATTCCATACCGATTACGTAATGTAGTATGGTTAAAATTATCCCAATAAGTAATAATATGATACTGAATATAGCTAGAATAGTTGCCATAAAACAACCACATCTTGCTGGACCATTGATTAACGGATCAGGTGACCATACACAACAATCACTATGTACACCGTCATCATAAATAACATGGCATGAATTTCTGTTCATTGGTGAAGTGAAAGGATATAATTGATGCGTTCGAATCACTTTTGGTTCTTCTAATGGAATTTCGGTTGTTATTAATAACTCTTCAGGTTTACTAAGGGGAAGTGGATTATTCCATGTTTTCATGTAATACAGGTTCTGAAATCCGAAAAAGTCACTGAATGTTGAAATTTATAGAAACCATTCATTGAGTAACATTATACACTTAGTTCTCATTATCATCTTGAAAATGAGTAAGAACGATGAATTGAACAGAATAACCTGAGTTTATTATATATCGTTAGGTTTTTATCGGCTGATTACAACCTAAATTAAATTAAAATCAGTATTATCGTAAAGGTTTAACATACTTATAACAGCAAACATAGATATGTATCATCATAATGAAGTATTGAGATCAAAGACATTTAAAGAGTAGTGCAAATTAATATAATAAGCGCGTGGAGATTCTGGATGATCCGACGTAGTAACAAGGGGTCATAGAGCTAGAGTAATTCATTGATAATGTGATGAATTAGTTGAAATTAACTCCACCTGTAGCTCTTCTAGGGTTACTGATGGTCCGAATCCCGGTTAAAGGAGGAGGGTTGGACGTGGGTTAGGCAACTCCATCACATAGAAAACAACCTTGCTAAAAGAACGTTAACCGGATTAAACGAATTCAATCATTTAAACTCTGTTCTGTGAGTTCAAGTGATAATTATAACGCTTCATGATAAAAGCCAAAGGTCATGGATCTAGAGTAATTAATTGATAATGTGAAGTAGTAGTTGAACATAAATTAATAATAATTGAGAGTAACATAATTCGAGAAATACAACACAGCATGCACCAATCAAACCACACTTGATGGAGAAGTTTGGAGGATGTAAAAACCTTTACATATCTGGGCAGCATCATTGACGGATACTGTGGATGAGAAGCAGACGTGAAGGAACGGATTAGCAAAGGAAGAGCAGCGTATCTACAACTGAAGAACATCTGGAACTCAAAACAACCATCAACCAACAACAAAGTCAAAATTTTCAATACAAATGTCAAGACAGTTCTACTGTATCGGGCAGAAACTTGAAGAACTACGAAAGAAATCATCCAGAAGATACAAGTGTTTATTAACAGCAGTCTACGCGAAACACTATAAATCTGTTGACCAGACATTATCACCAACAATCTACTGTGGGAGAGAACGAACTAGATCTTAGTAGAGGAGGAAATCGGGAAGAAGTGCTGGAAGTAGATAGGACACAATTTGGGGAAAGCACCCTACTGCATTACAAGGTGAGACCTCACTAGAAACCCTCAAGACCGAAGAACACATTACGCCGAGAAATGGAGACAAAAGTTGTATAGAACTAGAAAGAAAGGTGAAGGATAGAGTGGATTGGAGAATGTTGGTCGGCAGCCTATGCTTTATTGAGAGCAACAGACGTAAGTTGGTAAGTTGAGTACAGTCTGTTAAGCATAAACTTTTGAGTTTGAAAAAAGCATAGAAATCAATGTGGGGAAAAACAACTGCTAGAGTGATGTAATAAATCGATGTTAAAGTCATCATGGTAAAGAAATATTTGCAACTGTTACCTTTTGGACACATAAGTCCGTTTTAAGACGTTTGATGATCATAGATTGAACGAACTTGAGAAAGGAATTTGACTGTCGACTGATTAGTCTAAAATAGTTCAGTCTATCAACTGTCCTTTGAGTCTTTCACATTGTCCAGACATTCCATATACCAATGTTAATCGTTGCACTGGTAGTTAGAAGAGGTATCGGCCTCGTAACTTTCAGCATGAGGCGTCATAATTGTCCCTTCAACTCACAGGACAGAGTTTAAATGATTGAATTCGTTTAATCCGGTTAACGTTCTTTTAGCAAGGTTGTTTTCTATGTGATGGAGTTGCCTAACCCACGTCCAACCCTCCTCCTTTAACCGGGATTCGGACCATCAGTAACCCTAGAAGAGCTACAGGTGGAGTTAATTTCAACTAATTCATCACATTATCAATGAATTACTCTAGCTCTATGACCCCTTGTTACTACGTCGGATCATCCAGAATCTCCACGCGCTTATTATATTAATTTGCACTACTCTTTAAATGTCTTTGATCTCAATACTTCATTATGATGATACATATCTATGTTTGCTGTTATAAGTATGTTAAACCTTTACGATAATACTGATTTTAATTTAATTTAGGTTGTAATCAGCTGATAAAAACCTAACGAGATATAATAAACACATGTTATTCTGTTCAATTCATTGTTCTTACTTTCTTCGATAAAATTATTTTATTGAACGACAATATTTCCTATAGTTTCAGATCAACTGGATAGTCATTCAATGTCTGAATTAAGCGAATAGCTTCTTTATTCTTGCTTAGAACATTTGAACAGCATTTATGCCGAACACCACAATAGATATCATTTAATGCATCGACGCCTCACGAGTAGCGTAAAGTCATTCCAGTCAATAAATATCTATGAAACTGAATTAAATGAATTAGTGACGTAATAAACCATCGCTCATTGTAATCAGTAGATACCTGTTCTCACTTTCAATTTGGTCGACTTTACAGATAACCTTCTCTCATTATAAACTATTTTATATATTGGTCAGTTTAAAATAAGATGGATTAAATTAAATTATTTCATTCTTCACTTATCTGACAGATAAATTAAATTCATCGATGTATTATTTATTTGTTTCAAGAAAGGTTTGTTGATGTTTCCATTTGAAAATCAGTGTAAAGACGGAGGATATTTATCTGTCTAATAACAATATTTGATGGTAGTGTTATCATGTGCATTAACTTGACTTGAAGACCATGAATCGTTGTACCCATCCTTGCCTGTTGACCAATTCCGTATCGGGTAGAGACAGGTATCTACCTCACTATAATGAAAGATGGTCGTGACATTTCGTGGAATGGTTAAGGTTAGACATTAACACCGTTGGATGCCGGTTATCTCAGTGGTGTAGAAGTTAAGCGTTAGTGCACGAGACTGAATGCCCTGGGTTCGAATCCTGTGAGTGGGACCGTGGGTACACACTGTTGTATAGTCCCACAATAGGACGAAACGGCTGTTCATTGCTTCCAGGTTTTCAGTGGTGGTTTAACATCATTCGGTTCATGATCTCAATCAAAAACTTAATAATATATATATATATATATATATATATATATATATATATATATATATATATATATATATATATATATATATATATATATATATATGGACTCAATTCTATGCATAGTGACAACAAACTTTTATTAAAAATTTATTATAAATTTAATTATCAGTATAAGGGTTTAGAGATTATTAAGTATTATCTTTTGTTACCATGAAAATGCCCCGCATCATAAGTGGATATACCATTTCGAAAATTGTCAACAAATTGAAGGTATTAGTGTGGTGTGTGCTACTGATGTCGATAGATATATGTAGTAGTACATATCATCAACCGAAAGTGAAATACCTGATAGCAGAAGGTTAAGAAGAGTGAAGAAAAGAGAACGAGGACAGAGAATGATTGGTATGGAAACGAATGAATAACAAATTCCGGGACGATTGATGAATATTTTGCAAATGAATTATTTACTGTATGGTTCATAAATTTCACTAAGAAATTCTGTAATTTTGTATTCAAGTACATTTCATTGTCTATAATTGTATTCTCGTTCTTTACATTAAATGCTTATTTAATGATACTTTGACATCATTTAGAGGGAAAATACGATGTAAATCATTTCAGATGGCAGTATATCAATAAATTAACTTCAATGACTGAAGTTTTCAACCTTACTGAACCAATAATAAACTAGGACTTTTCTTTCGAATTGTGTTCAGGGGGATTCCTCCGTTAAACATTAAATATCATGCATTCTAGTTCCTATCACTTAGCTAGGTGGATGTATTTTAGTGTTTAATAGATAAAGATCTACCAGTACGAAAAACTAATTCACAGATTGGTTTAAGCTAGACATTAACACTGTTTGATGGTGGCCATCTTAGTGGTCTAGGGTTTAAGCGTTCGTGCATGAGGCCGAAGGCCCTTGGGTTGGAATCCCGTGTGTGGGAACGTGGACACGCACAGCTGAAGAGCCCCATACTAGGACGAAACGGCTGTCCAGTGCTTCCACGTTTTCTATGGTGATCTAGCTTTAATTGACTCATGGACTCAACTACTAAATTAATTCTAAATAATCAAGTTTTCATAGTCAACTAATTAGTGGATTGAATTTATGTTTAAATTGAACTAAATAATTCATAAAAAAGTATTCAGACTTACTATAATAATGTAAACGTATGTACAACACTAATAAAATCACAACTACCCAACTCGGAATATATTTGTTTTTCTGACCAATCGTTATCAAGTTTAATAAGCCAATCATTAATGAGTAGAGACAATAAGACAAACTGTATACATAACTATGAAAGTTTTGTTTGATCCACCTCTAAAGATCTACTACAAAGTTGGTTTTATGGACATTTGATTTCTAGTACATATTGTAAAAAGAGCTCATCGAAGTTCTTTCCAAAATATTTTGTATTATATTATAAAACTATTACTGATGATTGTTTAGAGTCCGTGTTAAGTCTAGCAATAAACCTATCTTTAAATTTTTGATAATTGTATATATATTTTGAATATGCCAATTATATCAAAGGCAATTTATTCAGTAAAGAAATCCTTGACAACGACTTCATGAATGCTATTAGTGGCATGAGTGTGGTTATCACTTTCCGAGTGCCCACGCCGATAGTTCTCCCAGAAATACCTGAAATGGAAATCGACTCAGAGTCAGTTTTAATGACCCAAACACAACTAAACCATCCAGTCCAGAGAACAAGACTTCATCAAAAAAGACGGGAAAACTACAATAAACATTTCTTTGGAGCAACTAGAAGCCTATATAGAGCTTATATTTAACTTAACGTAGGTTTACGCAAACCTATTCACCAGATCTTAAGTTTACCAGATTTTTCTATCGCAGTCATTAGTTTAGACCTGTTACAACATCATAATCACCTCATCAACAACACTGAACGGAGGTTAGAAGATGGAAATACTAATTTGTCCGTCTGTGTAATTCCTTTCTCTGGTTGTAGGTTGTCTCCAGTCGCCGTAAGGAACGCGACCGCTTCATACTATCAACAAAAACTCAATAAATAGCCCGAGGAATACCGAATGCCACCAAAATTACAGCGCATAACCAGCAATGTCACACACCACATCACGACTACAGGACCAGCAGTGTTCTCGAAGGCTCGCCGACTATCTCCCGAAAAGCTGTGGTTGGCTAACACAGAATTCGACCACATGATATACTTAGGAATCAGTCTCTCATCAAACAGCCCACTGGGATCTCTCTTGCACACGGTCCGTAAAAAGGACAGCGATGAGTGTCGTTTAAATGGTAACTATCGGTGACTGGGTGCGGAAACCACTTCTGATCGTTACACATCGCCTCATATTCACGATTTGACGACTACCTTTAGAAGCACAACAGTATTTTTTGGAAATCAACTCGATTGAAGCACGTTAACAAATTCCATGATCTGCTGACGACATCCCCAAAACCGCCGTCATCACACCTTTTTGTCTCTACGAATTTTTCATAAGGCTTTTCGACTTACTTGGACAAGACATATCACTACCTTGCATCTCGCTTGTCGATATAAATAAGAGCAGTCACATGCCGTTAGAGTCGACATCATTTGTCAGTCCCAAAAAAGCATCAAATATTGTGAGCAGTATTTAGACAATGCGGCTGACCCCAAACACCCAACAATTCTACAATAGGCCATCCTGAGCAGCGGCCCACGGAGTACATGTAAGCCTGCCTACGATAGTCAGCCCGATGACGTAGATCTTGACTACTCACACAGACATATACCACATCCCCCAACTAAGTGTACACAAAGTGACCACCCGGTAGACACCTGCAACAGGTCTGTATGTAACCATATAGACCTTAAAAACTTTGATATAAACTCCAATAATCTCACCACTGGTAGATCTAAAAGCAGCCAAACAGAAATCAGCCTCACCCAAACTATCCAAGATTTATTACCGTACAAATATTTAATCAGTGTTCCAGAAAATCCCGATCTGGAAATTATAAAAAACACTGAAAAAGTAATTGACCATATATCATCTGAAGTGTTGAAAAGACTTCAGTGTGTGCAGAATGTCATTGTGTATAATATACTTGATAGTACGAACATAAAGATTGCTAAAAATACTCTACTACAAGAATGTGGATTGTCGCAATCTTGGTGTGTAACAAGTAGATTACGTAAAGCACACACTAATGCCTCCTGTCCCATTCTGTTTCAGTTTGGTAGTACCACTGAAGCTAATCACCTCCTCAATAGTCAATCATTAGTGAGGCGTATTCCAACATTTAAAAAGATTAGGACCATTCATGACAGGACCGCTATCCAGCGTCGAATCTGCAGTGGGACACAAACTGATCAACCCAGCCTACATAGCCGTGGCAGCTACAGATCTTGTCACTGCACAGATCCTAAAATATCATACACTACCGCCCCCCCACAAAAAACGGAGGCACTTCGGACACTGCTTTTAGTCCTAAGGACAAAACCGCACATAAAGCAGATACAACCACTCACCCTCAGCCCAAACACTCAGCTACCCCAAAATACCAAACCACTTATGCCTCAGTAGCGTCCAAGTATTACCCTAACGGCCCCTGTAAAATGCCTAAAAATGATCCTACCAGGAATCGCGCTAACAGCTACAGACTCTCAGATACCGCTGTACGAAATAATACCAAACTCTCTGTAAAAACCCACCAATACTCCAGCACCCCTAACTAAAAACATGCACCTTCTCATAGCAATAGAATGCCCTACAACAAACATAGTGGACTGGGAACACCCACTCATCCTAATGTGAAACGATACTCGACAAGAACCACACCCACACGTGATACCCATAAGTCATATAGTGTCAACCTTGTAAGCCCCATGAACCAACACAAAACTATGCACAACAGAAACACCTCTCTTGGCAACAATAACAGCCATTCCTTCATTCCTTACCGGAAACATACAACCTCCCCGACTAACCACAATAGGACTAAAATTACCCACCACACACAAGGAAGCCATAACGTTGGCCTACTTGGGAACCCACCTACTGATTCTAGGTACTATCTAAGTCAAGACACCCAATACAAAGGTTTAGTCCCCCATAATTCGACATACACACTATCTCATCATTTTTTGTCTCTTTCCCCCTCAACATTACTGCTATGGGGTCTCCAAAGGTTGAGGGAGACAATCCCACTATTCTGAAACCATCTATATACTCCGATTTAATGGGGAGTGGCACATCCTTCTCAACTTCGATAACTGTCTCTAGTCTTAAAAGCTCCTTGACTGAACCTCCTGATCACTCCCCGAACACATTACCTAACCATTCAACTTAAACTTGCACTCTTAGACATACTTCTTTCACCAAAACAACACCCGACTACCGTTCTCGCATTAACCGTACTGGTAATAAACTAAACGCTCATCAATATGGAGTCAACGCTCCCAATTCTTTCTTTTCTCATGGCAAAACAGAAAAACCACTGGGTGTACATCATACCCTTCTACTAGACAAACACCGTACCTGACACTTATGTTAATCAACGCTCGATATGTACAAAGTAAGATGACTTACCTACGCACCCTATTACTTCTAAACAACCCCTCACTTGTTTTGATAACGGAAAGTTGGCTGTCCTCCGATACCACAGACACATTTCTACAAATAGACACCTATGAGCTCTTCCGCTGTGATCGAGTCACCAAGAAGGGTGGTGGTTGTCTCGTTTATGTATCAAAAAATTTGAGAGCGGAAACCTATAGCGACCACGTCCTCAGCAAACTTCCTGAATCAATATGGCTTACTGAGCACACTTGTGAATGTAAAATACTAATCGGATGCATATATCGAGCTCCTAACACTCCTAGTTCAACTGACACTAGTATAAGTGAGTCATTTGCTCAGTCTGCCTCGCTTGACTTCACACACAAAATTGTATGTGGTGATTTCAACCTTCCCACCATCAACTGGAAGACACATTCTGGCCCATTGTGCTTTGAAAGCATACTTAGGTCCTTAGACATACACGGCTGGCAACAACATGTACACCTGCCTACACGAAATCACAACATTCTTGACTTGATATTCTGTCATAATGTCACACCAACATCAATGGTGGTTGGCGAAAAGTTTCACAACAGTGATCATAAAATAGTCCTCTGAACCCTTCCGATTCTTGCCATATGCAACAAATTAAAGACATTGAACACGCGATTCCAATATAGAGACTATGCAAACGCTGACTGGGAAAACTTTCGATTCCTAATAAAGCACTCTGACTGAGGCAGTTTCTTTACCAGTAATAACCTCTTAGAAACGTTAGAAATATTCAATATCACCACCAAATCTGCACTAGACACTACTATACTCTCTAAAATTGGTTTTAAAACAATTACTCCCTATATTAACCAAAAGACTAAGTCTAAACTGCGAAAACTGAAAAGGATGTACTATATATTAAAAGACTTCAGTGCCCTACACCAGATATACTCTGTACTTGACGGAGTACAAAGTCAACACAACAAGCATAAAGAGGTAGATGAACGTACTGCGCTAGCTGCTGCATCTAAAACTCAAGCTCTATGTCGTCTCCTCACGAAACGCATAAGAAAGAACACAGACCACAACACTCACTCCTTACTGCACGACGGAGTAACGTATAATGAACAAACCGTCATATGTGAACTATTAAGTGAATGGTTTTCTCACAATGGGAATACATCCGATGCTCCAGACATGGACATAAAGTGCACCGGCAAAAACCATCTTAGTACCATAAACTTCGATATTAGGAGTATACATACTGCCATTAAAACCCTTAAGCCAAATGCGAGTTCTGGTACCGATGACATCTCTTCAATCGTTTATAAAATGTCAGGACCGGACATAAAGACGCTACTATTCAAAATATACACATTATCTTTAGAGACAGGTACATATCCGGAAACCTGGAAGGTAATATATGTTCTCCCCAAACACAAATCCGGACCGAGAAACCTGGTTGAAATCTACAGACCTATAAATACCACTCCAGTCATATCACGCATAATGGAAAAAGTGATACAAAATCAACTATCTGATCACCTACTCAAGGAAGATCTAATAGACCCGTCACAACACGACTTCATTAGAACAAGGTCGTGCAGTACATGCCTGATAGACTTCTTTAACGAGGTTACTCGTA